CTTTCCACCCACAACATTGTATATACTGTCATTCTTTTCTTTCTTTCTGTGGATGAAAGTGAAGAATTGATTGGTTCGAAAATTTGTTTTTTTCTGGAATTTTCCATCGTTTTTTCCAAATTGCTTCCCTCCCGGGGTATGTAAGTCAGTGTATATACTGTCATTCTCTTTCTTTCACATTGTCCTAGTGTTTTGTGGGAAAATCAAGGTGAAGAATTGATTGGTTTGAAAATGTGATTGTTTCAAGTATTTCCGATCATTTTTGTCCAAATTGCTTCCCTTCCGAAGCATGTAAGTCAGTGTATATACTGTCATTCTTTTTCTCTCATATTTACCTATCTTTCTATGGATAAATCAAAGTAAAGAATTGATTGGTTCGAAAATTTGTTTTTTTCTGGAATTTTCCATAGTTTTTTCCAAATTGCTTCCCTCCCGAGGTATGTAGGTAAGTCAGTGTATATACTGTCATTCTCTTTCTTTCACGTTGACCTAGTGTTTTGTGGAAAAATCAAGGTGAAGAATTGATTGGTTTGAAAATGTGATTGTTTCAAGTATTTCCGATCATTTTTGTCCAAATTGCTTCCCATTCGAGGTATGTAAGTCAGTGAATATACTGTCATTCTCGTTCTATCATATTGAGCTAGTGTTTTGTGGGGATATCAAGGTGACGAATTGATTGGTTTCAAGCCAATTGGCCCCTCGTTTGATTCTAGTGCTAACAGCAGAGTATAGATAATTCTGACATTATATGTATTGAGTGTGGGAGAGATGTAAGCGAGCCTACCTATAGTGGTTTGTCTGCAAAAATGTATCAAAAATTGCCGCATGATGGTTCAAGTTGTTGATAAACGTATATTTAGACTTAAATTTGGTAGAATCTTAGAATGTATAGAGAAGAAGCACCATTCTCGATCAAAATTGATAATTTTCAATTTTATTTATATTGATATTAGACACATTGAGAGTTCTTGTACCTAAAGAATATTTTGATCGCATATTAGTACATGAAATATATAAGATAGATACTGAGAACAAAAACTCTCTAGTAATAAGAAATTGACGAAGCATTCATGTGATATAGGTGCTCGACCTTGAAATTATCAATGCAACTTCGTACTTTTGCAACAAGAATTTCATTATCACAATGTCCAATGAATCAATATTTTAATTCAAACCGATAAAAATAATGTTATTTATAAATTCTATTCAACTATTTTACTCTATCTCGAATTTATTTGGCGCAAAACTGGAATATGTAGTGCATTTTAACGGTTATTGAACGGCTCATGTTACTCAAATTCAATTCGATTTGGGTTTGGAAACAATTTTTGGGTGAGCCGGAGCACATTATGATCGAGATTATGATGTCTTCATTACCTAACATCAACAAGTAGGTAACTGTCTGAAAAACGTAACCACACAACGTATAATTTAGAAAGAAACATTAGGTCATTAACTGCTTTCCTCAATCAGCATAACTGACGTACCCTACTAATATCTGAAAGTTTTTTCTTGAAAAAAATGCCTTCTGCTCTACGTGGCAATTTATTCTCTGAAATTAAAGTGAAAAATATTATTTAGAAGCCGATGTACTGGCTTGACTTGGCTCGGGCTTCATTTCTATGCGGAATACGTTTTGCATATCCGATTGGTGCTTCTTAGAACGTCATTCTTATGTTTAAAATATATCATCGAAGTGACTACCTGTATTGTCTGAATTAACATAATAAATTCTACGGGCTTTGTTGCTATCGGCTAGCAGAAAAATGTCTGGAATTATCATATTATTCTTTGCATTTGAAATTTAGTAATGCATGATAATAATACTCATACGATATTATACATTTATAGATAGACATTTAATGATTTTAATTGAAACTATTTTACACTCAAATGTGGAAAAAAGCTATTTTGAAGACTGGAATCTGTCAAGATAATCACTGTGCTAAAATAGTGTTGACTTGTTAGGTATAGCAATTTTGGTTTGTTGTTTTCATGATCTATGAAACATTTAGCGAATGTAATTTTTCATGAATTTGTCTAAAATCAGCCTTAAAAAAAACTTTGTTTGCGGCCGTTTTTGGACGTGGTTACAATATTATCACTAATAACTATCCAACTTGATACTTGATTGATGATAAACTTTTATAGTTTTGGATTTTTCTACGTTCGGTATTTCCAAATGTTCCAATAAAAAAAACTATTTTGGGTTACGTTTATGGAATACTAAAATAACGAGACAATAGACGGGGTCCGTTTCGAAACATGCGCTTTCTTGAATATTAAACATCATTTGTAGTAACTTATTATTCAAACTTTATTTAGCTCGAGACCGTTGATTCGTAAAGATCTTCAATGTAATTTACCATGCAGTCGTAAAAAGCTGTGTTATTATTGTCATTCGCTATGGCACTACCGAATGAGAAACAGTAGCGCTTACATGCAGTTGTACTAACCTACATCCTATACATTTCTAGGACAGTTATAAAATTCCAATGAAAAAAAAAAACAGTTTATGAATTACTCGTTTCATTCAGACAGTCCTACAAAACTGTTTTTCACAAAATTACTGTTCGATATGATGATTATGTTATGGTTTCATTTATAATAATTCGTTTTGTTTTGTCCCCATGTACGGCACTGGTGACTTAGATGAACTACATTCTATGTAAACATGTGTAAACTGTGAGAGCATTACTAAATGGCGATAACGCAAATTGTACCTCAGTTTTAGATTGCAACTTTGTATTAAAACAACGGGACCTGTAAAGTTATGTGTGAAAAATAATTAACTTGCAATGTTGCACAACTATTTCTGTTTATGACTTCATCTTTCAAACTATAGTAGAATAAAAACAAAACATTTGTTTCTAATCAATAGAACTATTTTATTGTTACGCTCGTAAAGGTTTTATTGTACGCAAATTTTTTTTTGATACCTCCTCCTCCTTTTGTCTACTTCTATTGCCAAGCAGCTCATTTTCAGGTAGATCGTGTTAGAACCCTATTTTTTTTCTTATTTTGTGAAACAGTAAAACTTGGGGGTTCGAAAGTCTCCCCTGTTGGTGGTATTTTTTGAGTTTTGAGGAATTTTGGGAAGTTAAACGTAAAGACAAAATAATATTTTTTCAGTTTTTATTCAGTTCGAATTTTAATGGGGATAAAAATTGTAACTCATATATTTATTTGTATTCTGTTTTGGGTGGCTGGAATGCGAGCCTCATCATTGAGATCTCGTAAACCGTACGAGATATATACAGGGTCGATGAATTTATTACAAAGTTGCATAGTTTTACGCCAAACAAAATGCTGTTTTGAAATTTGAAAAATTCCGAATACTTCAAAAAATTTTTGGAAAAAACCGAATACTCGCGATTTCATTTTTATTTTTTTATGACTCTTTTCGAATCAATGTAACAGAACAAATATCTTATTCCCATTGCTACTTTTTCTGTTCTATAAGGTGGTGATCACATATTCTTTAAACAGACGTTCCGTCTTTTAAGCTGTCATCATCAACTTTGTTTTCCTAAATACGGCCCTGAATCTTTCAATCTCCTGAAATCAACCGTGTATCAAAAACTCATATCAATCGAATTTTCCATAAAAACTCATGTGTTAGTGAGAGACAGAGGATAATAGATTTTTAATTGGATTGAAAACAAACACCTTTTTTTAAATCACAAGGAATTTGACCTAACGTAGGTTTTACTACAAAAATCAACATTCATAGTCTTCTGGGTAAGATAAAATTAATACTTCTGATAGGTCAGGGTATCAATGAAATAGATTGTAATAACTCTGTAACATGAAATATATTGGGCAATCACGCCAAAGCATAGGCACAAGATTCATAGAACATTGCTCACTTCATGCAGTTCGATAAATCAATAGGGAATAATCGAAGAGTTCGTAATTGATACACCAGCTTGCTGCTTCAATTTCGGAAGTTTTGATAAACAATGTCATTCGTGAAATTATTATATAAGCATCAAGCTGTCGTAACAATCACCGAATATTTCCGGCAAAATAGTATCACTTGTTGTAAAATGGGTTGAATGTAAGAATAGCCTTGCCTATACAGGGTGTTTAATAATATTTTCGCAGGATTTCAGGATGTCATGGCTCGTCCAAAAATATTAGAAGAAGTGTCTATCAACTTACCCTCTGAAATGCACCATTTTCGAGATACAGGGTGCTGAAATTTGAAAAAAAATGTTTCTTGGGAATATCTCTGGAACCGTTTATGACACAGAAAACAGCTTCTGCTTATAATAAGCTATGTTTAGTGCGAAACTCATTTTTTTTAGCCATAGTTGCTTAAGATTTTGAAGGGGCAGTGAGTGGTTTTCTCCCCACTAAAAAAAGTACAGTTTTGAGCCGCCCATTTGAACCGCCAATGGTTTCTACACAAAAAGATACTCTTGGTCATAAACTCTAAAGTTGACCGTTTTTGAGAAAAAACTTTTATGTTCAAAAACATTGATTCAAGTGAGTAAGATTTGTTATTGTTTTTTTTTTTAATTTTGTAATATGTAGTCAACGTTTGGTTTCGTTACTTGTTCTAACGTTTAAATATAAAATAAAATTTTGTTCAATTAGTAAAAAAAATTATTTCAAAATATTGAACATGTTTCCAACATAACATTAGATTTTTCTCTGGAACGGGCAACTTTAGAGGCGTATGACTAAGAGTTTTTTTTGTGGTGGTTCAAATGGGCCGCTCAAAACTGTAATTTTTTCAGTGGCGTAGAAGTTCTGGAGAAAAACACTCACTATCCCTTCAAAATGTTCAGCAATTATTAATTTTTATAAAAAAAAGATGAATACTGCACAAAACATAGCTCATTATGAGTAGAAAATAGTTGCAAAAGATGTGTCCTGTGCGATAAACGATTTTTTTATATCACATCTTGAAGTGCTGCGCCTATATTATGAAAACCCCCTGTATTCCGCCCAAATAAAGACGTTTTCTCATTATCTTTATTATCATTTTCCAGGCACTGGAAACACGAGCACCGACGGCACCTACAAACCCTCCTTCCTGACCGACCAGGAGCTGAAGCACCTGATCCTGGAGGCGGCCGACGGATTCCTGTTCGTGGTCAGCTGCGACACCGGTCGCGTCATCTACGTGTCCGACTCGGTGGCGCCCGTGCTGAACTTCTCTCAGAACGACTGGTACGGCACCTGCCTCTATGACAACCTGCATCCGGAGGACGTCGAGAAGGTGCGGGAGCAGCTGTCGACGCAGGAGCCGCAGAACACGGGCAGGATTTTGGATTTGAAGACCGGGACGGTGAAGAAGGAGGGCAATCATTGTGAGTGGGTTTGACGAGGAAAGGTAGATTCTCTGCCGGTATATTGGATTTTTTGGAGTGATAACTTCTAGAGACCCATTGAGAAATTTCTGGGATGGGAGTATTTATATTGATATGCGACGGTCGCAGCACCTGCACCTCCAGTATTCCAGTAAATTCGGAGGACGCAATGACAGTCCCAGATAACACGAAGACGTCCTGTGTACGCCCAGAGGACGGACATCTTCGAAATCGGCATCCTATGAAGATTGGATATACATTATTCAGGATAATAATATGTCACCATTGCCAGATTCACTTCAATTCCTCCACATTATTGACGAAAAATAACCATTTGTGACCTATTATCAAATGAATCGGTAGATGATCGGCAACTAACAAGAAGGGGCCTTATTACTACTACTATGATCACATTCGGCAATGTTTTATCATCATTCAAAAATATAATGAATATATATGAATAATGAATATAGAAAAATTTAAGACTAAAAATGGACGTCCTGCGAACGTACGCTCTGTACGTCCCGAAGTCGTACTGGATGGTACGTTCTGAGACCGTCTATATTAGGTTCCGGGACGTACGGACTCGAATTGGCCGTAATATGTACGTCCTCGGGACGTCGTGTGCTGTCTGGGGTGTAGTCGTCAGCTCTGACCTGACATGCATCAAAGTCACGGATAGTTTAAGCATATTGTGTTCTCGCTCGAATAACAAAAAACTTTTCACACCATTCGTATAATTTGTAATACAAAGGGTGAGTAATAAATACTTCTTTACGAGGTGCAATTTTGAAATCTCTCCTTCATTATTTTCAGTTCTAGTTTATCCTCTTCGCGAATACGTGGAAATATTACATAAAATTGTTATTGTCTCATTCAGATTCCCCCGGTATTGTCCAAAAGATATTAGAAATACTAACCGGCCATAGAAGTTATCACTTCCGGCGTTTGGTCCTACGGACCTGACTGAACATTGTTAACTATTTTATTTTCCTCTACAAAGCCTACTAATTGTTCATAAACTGTCATTTCGAGAATTTTTTCAATGAAACTTAGCCGAGATACATGGAGAAATAGATTGTGCACCCCTATAGTCTCATATGCTTTTCAATGTACCGCTTATTTCATCTAGGTTTTGTAGCACATTTTATATTCCTATTTCCAATACAGTGCATCATTTTAATTCTCCCATATCTACTATATCAAGAAGTGTCAATAAGGTTCCTAGTGTAGATATTCTCTTTCTAACGTTCAAACAATTCAAAATAGAGATTCTCCGTTTCATTCAGAACTGATTTTGTTATATGTGTAATTATTCATAATGCTAATTGTATACACCTGTAAATGGGCTTTTGGGACTGCTGGACGTATTGTATCAATAAATAAATAAATATTGACTGGCCTCAAATCAGAAGCATTGTGTGGGTTTGCAATTTTTGGTATTGAGATGATAGTTGAAATTTTTACTAGTATCACTTGTGATATTACATATATGGCAATTCGTCAGATCGAATTGAGGCATCCTGATGTACTCCTCGACTTTCCAGCTTCCATGAGGCTATGCATGGGCTCGAGGCGGGGCTTCATCTGTCGGATGAAGGTAGGCAACCTGCCGGCCGAGAGCATGGCCGCCGGCCACCTGAATCGGCTCAAGCAGCGGAACAGTCTCGGGCCGAGCCGGGACGGGCAGAACTTCGCGGTCGTCCACTGTACGGGGTACATCAAAAATTGGCCGCCCTCAGGTAAGTGGACGCCCGGTTTGTTTAATATGAAACGGTTCGAGACAGTCGCCAGCGCACCCGGGAGTTGTTTGGCGAAAGCTGAACTACTAACTGGACTCATTTTTTTAATTTCTGGAATAGAATCGTCACTCAATCAAATTCATATTCTTTTTAGAAGTTTTGCCACTGTAATTTCCAAACGCCTAGAAATTCAGCCCACCCGCCCATTCCATGACAGAATAGGAGAAGTTATGTAAATTTCTCTAGATATCTTTGGAGCTATCTCTCTTCTTTCTATAAAATTATTATTACAAGATGATTTTCTAATAATCTGGGCACCATATAGATAACATAGAGAGCTTATATTTCAAAACTTATCGCCCTGCATATCTTCTAATCTGCGATTCTAACCCCTGATTTATAGATTCAATAACATAACGGAACGCAAGTATATGTTACACACACGATAGAAGATGAAACATAGGAATTTTCCAGTACTGTTTATAGATTGTCGTTTCGCAAAACACTGATCATGTATTCTTAATCTCACTTCACTTTTCATTGTAGAATCAGTCAGCCTAATTCATAAAAATAAAATAAAATTTAAAAATAATTCAACAGAACATATAACTCGGCAACAAAATCATCTGAAATTACCTTTACCATCGACTACCCTGATCGAAGAATCGGTTATATATAATGGACTGAAGATGTATAACCACCTACCTACCTACGTAAAGGACATTAAAGATCATAAAATATTCAGGAAGAGTCTCAAACAGCTATTTGCTGAAAAGGCTTACTATGAATTAAAGGAATATTATAGTGATGTGTTTTAGTATTCATCTTAGAAATGTAAATCGTTATACCACATGATGATCCTTCTCATGCCATATTTTATCTTTCACATTGTTTTAAATTTCTATTATTGTATGTTACGTACTTATGTTTTATATTCTCTTTGTCTACAAGAGCTTCTTCTTCTGACAATAAAGAATATTCTGATTCTGATTCTGATTCTGGATGCAACGCGAGATATGCCCATTTCCATCATTCTATGTTCGCGTTGTGGAACGGTGACAGAAAACGTCATGCAGAGAGGAGGTAGACATTTGGAATTGATTAAGATATTACTTATATAATAATTGTTCCACATACATGCTGCTTGAGGAGTGCTGAGAAGCCTCATCGAGAATTATTCCATTTTATATAAGTCAAACAGTTATTACAATAATAAGGAAACTAGTTCGTAAGAATGAGATTGCACAGATACGGTACGGATTATGATTAAATCTGGTAACTTCAATTTATTCATTCATTGATGATGAAGTAATTGATGCAAACTCTTCTTAATATCCTTATCTTCTTCAAGGAAGATCATGTAGGATACATATTTGTTGCTTTTTGATGTGTGCTAATAAAGCTGGAGCAGGTGGTTGCAACGATTCGAATCCATCGGAGTATATTTGAAAAATTGTTGGGGATTGTTCTTCTTGGACATGAACTGAGGCCAATTCCAATTTGCGGAAGCTCCTAATGCTGCCGCAGATAACAGAACTCCTAGCAGTAGCATTGCAACATACTCATAATCCATATTATCATCCATTGGACTACCTTGAACAGATTGACCCTCGTTCTTTGAAACAATGCTAATTGCAGAACTGATACTCGATAGTCTGAACATAAACAATAATACAAATTAATAGGTATGACAATATTGGCGAGTGTCAAATTCAGGAACAACTATAAATGCCCACTTTATTTCATCGTCTTACGGTACTGATTTCAGAACGTTGATTATAACGTTGAGGTGCGTTACGGTATCTATAAATCAGGGTTGATGCTTTTTCCGACATCGTCTCGTGGCCAAACCTTGCCCTTCCACGGGTGCGCCGGCCGAAACACTTCTTCCTCTTCATATCCAACAACTTCACCGACCGATCTAAGCGCGAAAAACATCAGACATGTTCCCAGGCGTGCAGCTCGACCGACAGACGGAGGACGACCTGCACGCGCAGACGCACTGCTGCCTGGTGGCCATCGGCCGGCTGCAGGTCACCTCGACGCCGAACACCAGCGACATGGCGGGGTCCGGCGGCGGCGCCGAGTTCATCTCCCGACATTCGATGGACGGCAAGTTTACGTTCGTGGACCAAAGGGTGATCGGGCTGTTGGGGTACGCGCCGCCTGAGCTGCTCGGGAAGAGCTGTTTCGATTTTTTCCATCCCGAGGATCAGACGCACATGAAGGACAGCTTCGAACAAGGTGCGTTGACGGTTAGGGTGGGGGACACGATTTTTTATTGGGGCTGTTTCCGCTAAGCAATGTGGGAAGCTATATTGCAATTGTAAAATTTGTAAATGTAACGTTCTAGCTGTTCCACAACAATGTTATATTGTCAAACTGTACCTTTGCAATACTGTAACGTCCGTTTTAGTGATTGCTTCGACATTGCATACACATAGCTTCCAAGTTTGCTTAGTGGGTTGCAGCTAACCAGCCTCATCAGTTGTCCGGCTGCTGCAATTTCAAAAAATATATTTTTTCTACGTTCATGCAAAAAACAAACCTTTATTGAGCTATTTAGTGAATCAATAGTGATTCTTTATTGCACTCATCTAACATTTTACCACAGCGTATTTTGATTTATGACATGACAAACATAAACTCTCGAATCGACTCCATGCCATAGTCCATTTTCTCTAAGATTGCATTAGCTTTTGAACTTTTTGAACTATTGCATATTAATTTCATATTCATAATGTCTTCTTGAGATTATTTCATTCACACCTAGCTGCACCCATGAAATGTCATTAAAATCACATTATATGCTATATCAGCGGCTATTTACGTAAACCTCTTATTCTCCATCTACCGTGAAACATATAAACATCAGCTTACATACTCTAGGAGAGACACAATATGGAAAATATGATTGAAAGCACCTCAAGAATTCAAAACCAATCAATTCCCCGTTAAATTGTTTCAAACCATCAACAACCCTTCAATTCATTTATTTTTCTTTGGACATACATATATGTATAGAAATCGTCACAATTTTACATACACACCTACCTAAACACACCTAACCAAAAAATAAAACAGAGAATAAAGGAGAGAAAAAAAAACTATCTATAAGTCGAAGAATTCATCAAGGTTGTAACATTTATCCAATAAATATATTTTCAGCAATCGAGAAGATTCATTAAAATTTGTTCTCAGTGTTATACCCTTCGGTAATTTATTGAAAAATACGAGTCCCATCACAGATGGCATATCTTTTGAGATTTTATATTTTCGATAAGGAACGTGAAAGTCATGTTTTTGACGAGTGTTCATTTTGTCAATTTCCTCATTGATGATGAATTTTTGTTTATTTTTGAAAATATAAACTGACATTTCGAATATGTACATTGAGAATAGTGTCAGAATTTTGAAATCTTTGAATAAGTTTCTACAGGAAAAATTTCTAGGAACTCTAGCTATCACTCTTACACTACGTTTCTGTGCTATGAATATGTCCGGCACCGCCGTAGAGTTACCCCACGAACATATTATACCATATCTTAACCTGTAAAACAATTTGAGCATGATACTGAGCAAGGAGTTGATGTTCAGTTAAGATGTCTCTTGTTAGATTTCTCAAGAGATAACAAATTGAGTTAATTTTACCTATCAAGTCAGAGCAGTGTTTCCAATTCAGGTTTGCATCGATGCCGATACCTAAGAACTTGCTCGTACATACACTCCGAATCACTTCATCTTTGATATTAAATTATTCAGAGGAACATTGTTTTTGTCGATTGTGGGATCGCACCATTTGTGTTTTCCCTGCATTAAGGTGTAGACAATTGGTCCTACACCAGTCGATAATTATCTTGAAAACGCTTAACAATTTTACAGAGCTTCCGGGGTTTTGATTGGAAATCAACTTGTATCAATCAAATCTCACGCGGAAACTCGATTAGAGCAATGTGATTTACCACTCAAAAATATCTAATACCCATACACGTTTTTTTTTTTCGGTTTCCAGTGTTGAAACTGAAAGGGCAAGTCCTCTCGGTGATGTACCGATTCCGGGCGAAGAACAGAGAATGGGTGTGGCTGCGCACCAGCGCGTTCTCCTTCCTCAACCCGTACACCGACGAGGTGGAGTACATCGTGTGCACGAACACCACCGCCAAGTCGCTGCATTCGACCAGCGAAGCGCCGCCGGCTGAGGCGCCCGAGCAGGTCGCCTACCAGCAGCCGGGCCTGGACTATAGGTACGTACACGGGGGAATATATAGACCACGCCAATCTTTCATGAATCAGTATCCTAAACGCCAGACACAGATAAATGAATGGCATCACGAATGGTGGGGAATAATCTTATATCTACTACTCAATACCAATAGGCGTTGATGTCGATGTAGAGAAAAAATAATACGAAACTTGTCAAACCAATATGGCTATTTCCATCCTTCACTTTCCGTCCTTATAGATTCAAAAAGTACATTTCATTTTGGTCCCATTTTTGTTGGGATATCGTATAGGCGATGCGCCATATACAGAAATAGTACATATTTATTACTCATTACTATACCCTTGGGAAACATGCCACGATTTTTCAGGCTGAAGTATTTGTAATACTTGCATGTGTTCGAGAGAATATCGAGAGGGGCTATCACAGCCAGCATATCACTATATGCACTGACAGCCAAGCGGCGATCAATGCGCTCATCTCGTATAGGGTGACCTCCGCCTTGGTGTCAGAGTGCATAGATAGCCTACAAAGGCTGTCAGCAACGAACAAAGTATGTCTTTTGTGGGTCCCTGGACACTCAGGGGTACCAGGTAACGAAATGGGGCGAAGGATTCAGTGATTGGCCCAGAGCCAATCTTAGGGGTCACTCGATCCTGAAGCAACTTCAAGATGAAGGAAATCCTGACGGAAAGGTTTCAGGACAGCTGGAGAAAGGCTCCTGGAATGAGGCAGTCCAAACTCCATATAGGAAACCTGTCACAAAGACAGACCAATGCCCTCTTGGCTTCTGCCTTCTGACAGGGCACTGACACCTGAACAAACATTTCAGCACGATCGGGATTGTGGAGGATCCTGAATGCAGATGGTGCCTAGAGGATGCAGAGACTTCTACTCACATCCTCACTGAATGCCCGGTAGTAGTGGGAGCAAGGGATATCCATTTTGGGAGCAGTATCCTGGACCCAGAGGATGTTGAAAAGATTTGGCCTAGAAAGTTGGTCTCTTTTGCTCGCGATATCGGCCTTCTCCATGGCTGACTTGCGATCCCAGGAATGTGGGTGCACAATGGGCCCGAAAAAGGAGGCCTAAGTGCGTCAGGTTAGGTCAAAAAAAATCGAATTTTTGTTCCAACGGCCAATTGAGGAGAAATCACGAAAACGTCCCGAAATGAGGTCCCAGAGTATCATAATATGACTAACTTTTGATCAGGAAAAAATTTCCCGACTTCTGGCAGCATTGGAAATGTAGACCATAGTGTAATGGTTCCACTTTACACCCTGTGCAAGTTTTGTTCTGCGGACTTTTTCAAAGTGAACTAGCTCTCTTTGAAGCCGATGAAAGATCACATCTGACAAAAAAACGCATGAAGATTGGTCAGTTTTTTCAAATAATACAGGTCTTCGATATATAGTCAAATTATTAGTGGTCCATTCAGTGTGTTGAGAACTGCATGTTCCTCTTCCAGCCTGCAGCGACGCGACCCCGGCCTCTACTCCCACATGCTGCCCACCAGTCAACATATCCAGAGCGAGTACCTGCCCATGTCGACGGCGGCCGGCTGCCCCGACCGGGCGGACGACGCGCGCTACCCGCGGCTGCTGGCCGACGCGCAACAGGCCGCCCGCCCCGCCAGCGGTCAGAACGTCTACGCGGGCTACGAGCCGACGCCGTCGCCGATCGCGTACGGCTCGCCGTCGCAGGCCGGCGCCACCTGCAGGTGAGCGGGATATGTGTATATACTGGGTGACCCACTTCTAATGGAAACACCCCTGAACCTTACGTAATCGTTGGGTAAGAATCCTGATGAAATTTGCTGGAGCGAGAGATATACCAAAAATGCACTCTATGACCTGGTGGGGTCCTTTTCAGTGCTATACACTGCTCGCCAACAGCCATAGAACCACTCCGGCGAGCACTGTATATCACTGAAGATGACCCCACTTGGTCATAGAGTGTATCTTTGGCATATCTCTCGCTCCAGCAAATGTCAGGATCCTTACCCAACGATTACGTAAGATACAGGGGTGTTTCTATTAGAAGTGGGTCTAATTCTGACATTTTACTTAACGACCAATTAGACCTCAATAGTACACTACCGTTGAATTAGTTTTCTTAGTAGATAATAATAGTTGCGTTTTGTTCCATTCTGGTAGCGGTGGTGCGAACAGAATGACGTTTACAAATAAAACGAGAAACTTCATAACCTTGCTTGAGAGATTTTACATAAGAGGTTATATTTGTATATGGGAGATCCAAATAATTCAAAAAGCATGAAACTAATGTTGAGAATCTCGAAAATGAATCAACTAATATTTGGAGCAGTGATTGTGGTGATTGAAGAAACTTCTCTGAGATCGACAGAGTTTATTTTATTCGGGAATGAACATATGAAACCTGTCTTACTTGAAAGAATCATGAACTAGTGAAGCTCATGCTGAAAGTGTCTTCTAAATGTCTTTTACTTTCAAAAATGTTCGTTTTTCGTCAATCTAATTTGATTTTTTGACACCTGTCAACAGTCCTTCCACATCATTCCTTGTAGTGCGACGGAATGGAAAGTAGCAACCGGAATCGGAAAAGTTGCAAATAAAACGACACATCAAACTGATTCCGGTGGCAGAATCGGATAAATAAAACGCAACTAATATGTATTTGCTATCCACCCTTTCAAGTATTTTAATGTAGATATTGTGCCTAATTTCCGAAAATGGAGTCTTATTGAACCTGTACACAGGTAACTAATCCTTCAAGTTGGGAAAGTAGGATGTATAAATACGTAAGCAAGCCAAGGTTGGTTTAGTTCATTGCACCAGCATATCACCTGACGAAGCTACTGTGTTAGCGAAACATGTTGTGTGTTTAAGAATTTTGTAGAAATCTTATCGTTTGTGAAGTTTTTACATTCATTTATTCATTTGAAAATGATAGTACTGAAAATCATAAGAGAAATATATATATTTTTTCTTACAAAGTTGGAACCAAATGGAAAACTACTTTTTTATTTTTCATATTAAAAAAAATAGTTATTCTCATTATTCATGAAAAGTTCTGGATGTTCTAAAATCTGGGATAAAATCTTCAGATATCAAATTTTTTCAGTCGTATACACGTGTCAAAATATGTGAATTGTACTCAAGAGTAAAGTACCTTTACATTTGACACACCGCGTATAATACGACTAAAAAATATGATATCTGATGATTGTATTTTAGATTTTAGAACATGACGAACTTTCTATTAAGAACTCTTTTCTTAAAATGAATAATAAACAAATTTCCCGTATGGTTCCAACTTAGTGGGACATAGGTATTATATATTGTATATTTTTAATTGTGTCATTATTGTTTATGGATATATTAAATGAATTTGATACTAAAAACGAGGTTGGAACATTTATTGATCGTGTTTAAAAATAAAACACCCTTTTATTCTAGGAAAATAATGATGCTTTCTAGAATCCAAATAATATTTTCTGAGATTCAAATTCTGAACTTCATTTGACTATTAAAAATTATGGGCTTTCTGTTTCTGAATGATGATGATTTTTTCATAATACTATCGACGAAAGTTCCTTCAATTCCCGTGAAAGTTGATCAAATGTATTCGTTGCTAACTTCTGCCAGTCACGTGATCCCACCTCAGCTAACATCCGCTTGTCTCCAGCAGCAGCAGCGCCAGCGTGCTCGCCAGACTGAGCAAGGGCGGTCCCACGACCAGCCCTACCCCCGCGGCGGCCGCGTGGAGTTTGCGCCAGCCCCCGCCCGCCCCCAACGACGGAGGCGGCTACCAGTACGGCCAGCCCAGCCCGAGGTCGCCCGGTCCCACGTACACCCAACTGAGCGGCGGTGGGCGGGCCGCTGCAGGCCCCGCCTACCAGTGGACGAGCTGGCAGACACAGGCGCAGGCGCAGCCGCAAGCGACCGACGCGGCTCCGCGAGAGCCGCCGGCCGCACAGCCGCAGCCGCACGAGTTGAGCGACATGCTGCAGATGCTGGATCAAGGTGGCGCCGCGTCGTTCGAGGATCTGAACATGTTCAATACAACGTTCGAGTGAGGGGGTGGTAGGGCGGTCGGGGGAGACGTTGACTGTGGCTATCGCGGATGAGACGGCTCGGGTTCTGGGAAAGAATCGAGATATTTGAGGGATTGAAGAAGGGTTTCGGATGGGGTGTCGTTATCTTTCGAACTGTGTCACACTTATTTCATTTCTCCGTTTGGTTTAAGGTGAGGTATTCTTTCATACTCACTTCTCTCGGATCGGGTTGTAATACTCGGTTAGGTATTTACCGAGGTATTTACCATCGAATCATGTGATTGAAGTAATGAAACGATTCCTCGTTTCTTTGAATTCTATTTTAGCGTGGTTTTTATGCGAGATATGTAAGTGTAATTAGGACATTTCTTCCAGTATGCAGGGTGTTATTCAATTGATGATTCAACATGTAGGATATACGAGTCCTTAGCTTATTTTAGTTCATATGAACATATGCCCTAAACCTCTTAACTTTCGAGCTATAGGGTATTGCAATTTCAAGAGAAAATCAAATTTCAACACCCTTTAGCTCGAAAGTCAAGAGGTTCAGAGCATATGTTCATATGAAGTGAAATAAATATAAAATCGCTTGAATGGTATGCATTTTTCCTTTGTAATATCAAATATCTCGATTCGTTTCCGAGATTTCAGCTGTTAGGAGTCGTGAAATCCATAGTTACATAGTCACCCTGTACAGACATAGGATTGTAAGGGCGTGAGGTGGTGTAGGTTTTTGACAGATGGGAGAACAGTAACATGAAATAATAATAACATCTTGAATAAGAAGTAGTCACCCAATATTTTCGTTTTGATTTTCTTAACATCAATAGGTCCTTATCCAAATGAATGTTCTATAAATCCATAAAATCCCACAACAATTCATTTGAATTTCAGTTTAATATATTCGAGAATAGAACCGGTGAAACACGTCAACTAGTTCATTTGTTATTCTCAGAAATACTAACGCGAAATTAGAATGAAGTTGTATGATATCTTATGGGCTCACTGAACAAGGATTACTGCAAGAGTCAATGTTACCTCACGCCACTGTCAAATCCAGGTTATTTTTACTGCGCTGCCGACTGAACTATAAGAAGTATGCTGCAAATGTTGCATCTCGATTTTTTTGTCATTTCCAAGAGGTCATAATATCTTGACAAGATTATAGATTTGTCTGAAATTCCATTTCCTTATCCACAAAGTAGGTACTTTAATTGAACACGGGGGGGAAAATGGTTGATAGAAAGTGTATAAAACCTACTGTTCACATGAAATTGACTGAAGGTTTTCAGTACCTTTGGTTTATTTTCACATCTCCTCTGATACCAACTGACCACGTTGAACTATGATACAGTTGATACAGAAGAACCTTCCTATACTCAATGAAATATTTCAATTATCACACACTATCCTAACATAGCTTGTGCTCATGGTGGAAGAGAAGGTTCCAGTTACGTCGGCCTAGCCTACAAGCTTTTGAAAGAAATATCTTTTTCAGGAACTTTTCATTACTCTGATCATGATATTTGACTGCAAATACATCGATTTAAGTGTTCCACTTATTCCACCTCATCAACTTTCATCCCAGAATGGAAGCAACTTCGTGATTCTTCGACGCAAATAGTTGTTTCTTAAATAAAGAAAGGAGTGATAACCAATGAAGTGATATTTCCTGGAAGTTGATGACTTGTCTGATTATCACACTTGTGTGTCATTGAAAAGTAATATAAAATCCATTCAAACTAAAAAAATGTTGGGTTTGTAGACGTCCGTGGAAAATGTTTGCAAACTTGAAATTTATGAGCTCTAGATGGTATAAAATATTCGAGATGTGATGTTTCAGTTGCAGTTTACTTTATTTTTGTACACATAGATTGTATTATAAAGACAGTGAGACGGTGACACTCAGTGTATGTATATGTATGTTGGAAACTGAAACGCAAGGCGACTTGATCTCGATTTGTTAGTGAAATGACGAGACTTGTTGATTATTTCTAACTGTTGTGACGTCCAAGATATGTATAGCTTAAGGTTTGGCATAATGCATAATGTTACTCTTGATAGTGTGAGTTAATCTGTATACTCAGTTTTATTGTTTTTACTTGAGATTGACAGTTCAGACACTGAAACATATTCTCTGACTCTGATAGGGTTTGGTTTGGAATGAATGCCTTGCGCTTTGCTATGTGGTGCAAGAAAAAGGATGAAGATGATCACCACTGTACTTTTGTGTTTGGATTCTGATTGTCTAGGAATTTCTTTCAACGGGTGAAATTTCACTGCAGTCAATATTTTTGTAGATTTTTTTTATACTTCTCTGTATAAAAAGCACTTTTATTGTATTGTTTGAAGGATTTTAGAAAATTTAAATAATTTTATTGCTACAGTTTTAAAAGTGAATAAATTCTTTTTAAGAATTATCTTTTGTTTTATTATGGAGTGGAAAGTGCTGAAAGCTAGAGAGCTCACCTTCTAATCCGCAGTAGGGAATAACTTTTAGGACCCTGTATACCAAATTTCAAGGTCCTACGGAAGTTGATTGTTGGGTCTGATAATGAGAAATCTCATTTCACAATGGTAGAATCCAGATTTGTGTATCAGGAAAGCAGAAATTAGATGAAAGATGTATTGATGAAACAAACGGGCAAAATTCGAAATCAGGAGAGCAGAAATGAGGAGGGGTCGTCGTATCTTTATTAGTTTTCCTGATATGAGCATTTTAAAGAAATCAAAAATGTAGTTCAAAATCGTAGAAATATCGTCTCTCACACGAATTCATCTGCAAATCACTGCCATCAAATCGATTTCGCATTCATGTCGGACATGCAGTGTATAAAAAATTTAGTCCAAAAGGGGTACAAAATCTTTTTTTCTTCTAAATTTAGGGCTAGAGAGATGTGCTTTTGCTCCGCACTAGGACATCCCTAATGTGTCCTAGATACCGAATTTGAAGGCCCTAATACAAAGTTGATTTTTCTAACATATTTCGAGGCCTCAAAATGAGCTGAAAACTCATACACAGGATGTTCTCGATGTGCTGAACAAAAATCTAAGGTTTGTTTCTTTTTATCTCCTTTGGTTTTCGAGACATTCGCATTCAAACATTAGAAAAATTGGCAGGAATATCGCTGAAATGAATTCTTTATAGTCGGCAGAATACGTTATCGGAATTTTGACTTTTCGAAATGGGATTTCACATTTTCGATGGAAAACCCAATACTTTCTTTCATTACTCTCCTCTCCTGATTCTCGAATCTCGAATTCTGCCTGTTTGAAACCCGGATTTGCATTTTCGATAGACAATAACTTGCATGATACCCTCTCATTTCTGCTCTCCTGATACATGAAATTAGACTATTTCTGCTCGAAATCGAATAAGCATGCAAAAATCTGAATTCATGTATCAGGAGCGCAGAAATGAGAAGAGGCGAATCACCTCTATCGACAATGCAGGCAAATATATATATAGATATTCGTGTATCAGATGCGCAAAAGTGGAAAGAGTTATTGAGTTGTCTATCGAAAATGTGAATCCGGGTTTCAAACAGGCAAAATTCTATATTCGAGTATCAGGAGAGAAGAAATGAGAAGAGGTATTAAATCGTCTATCGAAAATGCAAAATCCGATTTTGAGCATGCAAAAATACAAATACATTTATCAGGAGCGCAGAAGTGAGAATAAGAGTTATTGAGAGTTTTCTATCCAAAATGCAAATCCGGGTTTCAAACAGGCAAAATTCATGTATCAGGAGAGCAGAAATGAGAAGAGGTATTGAGTTTGTCTATCGAAAATGCAAATCCGGGTTTCAAACAGGCAAAATTCTAGATTTGAGTATTAGGAGAGCAGAAATGAGAAGAGGTATTGAGTTAATCTATCAAAAATGCAAATCCGGGTTTCAAAGAGGCTAAATTCTAGATTCGAGTATCAGGAGAGCAGAAATGAGAAGAGGTATTGAATCGTCTTTCGAAAATGCAAAATCCGATTTCGAGCAGGCAAAAATCTGAATTCATGTATCAGGAGAGCAGAAATGAGAAGAGGTATTGAGTTTGTCTATCAAAAATGCAAATCCGGGTTTCAAACAGGCAAAATTCTAGATTCGAGTATCAGGAGAGCAGAAATGAGAAGAGGTATTGAATCGTCTTTCGAAAATGCAAAATCCGATTTCGAGCAGGCAAAAATCTGAATTCATGTATCAGGAGCGCAGAAATGAAAACAGATATTGAATCGTCTATCAAAAATGCAAAATCCGATTTCGAGCAGGCAAAAATCTGAATTCATGTATCAGGAGTACAGAAATGAGAAGAGGTATTGAATCGTCTTTCAAAAATGCAAAATCCGATTTTTAGCATGCAAAAATACAAATTCATGTATCAGGAGTGCAGAAATGAGAAGAGGTATTGAATCGTCTTTCAAAAATGCAAAATCCGATTTTTAGCATGCAAAAATACAAATTCATGTATCAGGAGAGCAGAAATGAGAAGAGGTATTGAGTTTGTCTATCAAAAATGCAAATCCGGGTTTCAAAGAGGCAAAATTCTAGATTCGAGTATCAGGAGAGCAGAAATGAGAAGAGGTATTGAATCGTCTATCAAAAATGCAAAATCCGATTTCGAGCAGGCAAAAATCTGAATTCATGTATCAGGAGCGCAGAAATGAGAGGTATTGAATCGTCTTTCGAAAATGCAAAATCCGATTTTGAGCATGCAAAAATACAAATTTCATGTATCAGGAGAGCAGAAATGAGAAGAGGTATTGAGTTTGTCTATCAAAAATGCAAATCCGGTTTTCAAAGAGGCAAAATTCTAGATTCGAGTATCAGGAGAGCAGAAATGAGAAGAGGTATTGAATCGTCTATCAAAAATGCAAAATTCGATTTCGAGCAGGCAAAAATCTGAATTCATGTATCAGGAGTGCAGAAATGAGAAGAGGTAATGAATCGTCTATCAAAAATGCAAAATCCGATTTCGAGCAGGCAAAAATCTGAATTCATGTATCAGGAGTGCAGAAATGAGAAGAGGTATTGAATCGTCTTTCAAAAATGCAAAATCTATTTAGCATGCAAAAATACAAATTCATGTATCAGGAGTGCAGAAATGAGAAGAGGTATTGAATCGTCTTTCAAAAATGCAAAATCCGATTTTTAGCATGCAAAAATACAAATTCATGTATCAGGAGAGCAGAAATGAGAAGAGGTATTGAGTTTGTCTATCAAAAATGCAAATCCGGGTTTCAAAGAGGCAAAATTCTAGATTCGAGTATCAGGAGAGCAGAAATGAGAAGAGGTATTGAATCGTTTATCAAAAATGCAAAATCCGATTTCGAGCAGGCAAAAATCTGAATTCATGTATCAGGAGCGCAGAAATGAGAAGAGGTATTGAATCGTCTTTCGAAAATGCAAAATCCGATTTTGAGCATGCAAAAATACAAATTTCATGTATCAGGAGAGCAGAAATGAGAAGAGGTATTGACATTGAGTTTGTCTATCAAAAATGCAAATCCGGTTTTCAAAGAGGCAAAATTCTAGATTCGAGTATCAGGAGAGCAGAAATGAAAATGGGTATTTCATGGGCATTTTATGAATATTTCGATAAAACACTCTGGAAATGGGTTAACCTGAACTGAAATAAAAACAAAATATCAGATAATTTCAACATTTTTATTTGATTTTTAACAGTGTTTGGTGACAATTTTGGATCCTATAATAATCGCCATACAGTTTTTAGTTTTGCAAGCGTTCTTCATAGACATCTTAGGACCTAAAGATTCCTGGTAGTAGAACAATTTCAATTGATCGATTGGTATTTACAAACGTCAATAATTGACGTTTGTAAGTACCAATCATCATCATTATCAGAAGCATATTCTATGAACACTGTCCTTCACTTTTCTGGAGTCAATATACCATAACATCCCTATGTTCAAGTCCCATAGATATGCTTGTGAATATAATACAATTATTTTTGATGAAATCTCATAATGAATTTTTTTTTTTGAATCCCAGGTTCTACACTTCAATATTCCATAACTCACAGTATAATACCAGTATTTACAGAAGATCACAAAGTGGTAGAAAAAGTCCATTAATATCATCAGTTACAGGAAGAAATGCTTGTTCACATGGCGATTATAATGTCCTAGAATATACATTTAATAAAACAACCAACTTCAATTAAAACATACATACGTGAGTCACCCGGTACATAATAATTATAATCTTTGCACAGCCTTTATGTACATTCCTGAACATTGCATTGCAGTTGGTCCTGGTTGCATAATCTTGTACATAATATACACTTTTCAATAATACATGAAAAGCTACTAGACTAGAAAGTTAACAGCATATTAATGCATTAGTCACTCATTTTATGAAATCAATGACCAACTGCTTACAAGCCCTTAAATTCTTTTTTTATACAAATAACTTAATTGACAGAAGAGGTGAGAACTTCTTTGAGTACTCAAACAACATTATAACTGAACTCTTATGAAATACAACTGGAACCAATTTTATTTTTGTTGGTTAAAGTATAAAAACCACCAACCAACCAACCAAACAATTAAACATTCACAATTTAACATTTTCAAGAGAAAGGGTGCATGTACACTAATAAAATAATGTTACTGACTTGTCCTTAGGCAAAACAGATGTTTAGCACAGCTCAAAATGTGTGGTTTATAATAGTGAAGAAGTACAATGTGAGGAAATGTCTCTTTCCATAACTGTAACATTTTCAACTAGTATTACAAACACCCTTTTCTTATGAAAGACAATCTCTCATGCTTCTATTATTTATCATTCTTTTTTCTGAGTCTTAGGACTAGGAGCAATCAATTCTTTCAGTTTATGATGAGTTTCTGAGAACATCAATGTTCCACTGAAAACCATAATAGTGCCTACCCAATGGGCAGCAGTAAAGGGATTTTGGAAATAGATGATTGAAAACAATAAGGAGAAGAATTTTCTCAGAGTGATAACAAGAGTAACAGTGAGAGATGTACATTCTGTAGTTAATACATATACATTGCTAATACACAAGAATTGTGTGATGACATTCAACAGCAAAAATCCCCATATTATAGGCATTTCAAGGTTTAGGAATGGAATATTGAAGGCTTCACTGTTATTAGCAATAGCAGCATGCTCCAGAAGGCTTGATGAGTAGATGAGGAATCCAGGTATGGGGTACAAATGCTGTAAAAACACTAGTATCAACATTAATTGAAGCACTTTTGTGGAACATACAAACTATCTCTCATTTCTTTACCTCATCCAAAATGGACAAAAATTCATAGTGCCAATGTGCATTTTATCAATGTGTATAAGTATTGCAAAAATAATCATATCAACAGAAGGGAATGCACCAATTATGTTATTTTTGGTTGTCCAGTGACTTTTAATATCCAGATCCCATTGAAAGTAGCAAAAATTTCAGTGTCAAAAAGAGAGTAATAGATTGTGGAGCAATTTCTAGGCATTATTCTTTCAATTACCGTATAATACAAGGCTTCCTGTGGGTGCTTTCCATGTCTCTTGTAAAGTTGTTCTTGAAAAATCCCCATTCCAGCAGAAAGCAATAATGCACCAGTCAACAAGATGATTCCAATAACCCACCAGAAAAAGTGGTCAGCTGGAACTTCCCCAGGAACATTTATGGCATCAGGATCACAGTCATAACAGGCCTGAAATCAGAATGGAAGAAAAATGTAGTTTTCAAGCTTCACCTCCACCTCATTGGTATCTTACTGTTTGTTTTGGTTTAGTAGAATACAGAGTACATATGATAATCCCCAAAGTAATAAGAGCTACAGAAACATATTTCTCCAATGTATAACGTCTTCTCAGGATAACAATACCCAGTATCATATTAGCAATTAGAGAGCCCTAAAACATACATTATTTCAATAATGGATTCAAAAATTTTCAGATCATGTGACATACAGCTCTGAAAATCATGTGTAGTGGAACAGGAATGTTGAATGCAAATGCCCAATTATTCACAACACTAGTTGTGAAGAAAAATACAACTAGAGTCATGTAATCCCTGAGTGTAATCTTTGGCTTGACAGTTCCAAACTTGGAGGTAAATATAAATCCATGAAGAGCAATGAAAAGAAACTGGCAGAATGTGATTAAATGACCAGAGCCAGGATCTAACCTGAAGATGAAAATAATTTGCTATAACAACTATTTACTGTAAGAAAGAATTGACCACTCACTTTATTATGTATTCTAAGAAAACATTATTGAGCATACATCCTACTAATGTGAGCACAATAGCCTGAGCTGCTTTGAAGTTCATTTCCAAATTTTTGCTCAACTATCACAGGGGTCTTGCTTTGGTTACTAGTATTTTCTCCCTGCAACCAAGAACCAAATCATATTAAAATGAGTTTAATCATTGAACTTTGACATGTAGATAATTCACATGGTGGTTTCATAAAACATGTATTATAATTATATTATATACATTACCACTACATTATAATTATAAAACATAAGAGAAGCCCAACTCGTTAGTGGCATAGTGTGATGTAATTTATGAACACAATCATTGTGTTCCAATGTAGTAATAATGTAATGACAATAAATTTTTAATGAAATCACTTTCCTTCCAAACCAAAAGTGAAATACAATACTTGTTTAACTATGGGGTTTAAAAACCATAATACGCTCACAAACCTCAACTATTTGAATTCTTGCCCAACGAACTCAAGAGTATTTATTGCCACATATCAAAATAGATAAAACAGATTATCAATCTGATCCACTGTAGACCACATGATTATTATTATTTATTTTTCAAACGTCGCGACCAGTTTTTGAGGTTAATATAGACTCGTTTTCTTCTTCTGTTTTTATCATATGTCGTCGAGTCGTCGTAAAAAATATACCCAATGATCGGATTCTAAATTTTTTGCAACTTACCATGAGAAAATCAGGTATCTGGTAATCGCCACAGAAGTGCCTAAATCGTTCGAACCATTCCCATCACGTGGTCGACATTCGTTGTTTTATGCTTATTTTTCGCAATAAAACTGTGAAGGCTGAGTTTGGTCAGGGACTTTTATTCTGGTCCACTAATAGCATGGCGTCAGTCCACTGTGATGATTGTGTAGTAATAATTCCAACTATTTGCTTTTTCTACGACCGAATGCGTAGATCTTAGATGTAGATTCACTCAATTTGACAATGAGGTTTGGGAACAGTTCGAAAACTTTAGGCTCTCGTATCGTCACGGTAATCGCACACAGGAGTTGAGGACCACAAAGCTTCTTCTTTTCTTCTTCTCAAAGTATTCTTGAAATCTTCATCTACCCAGATTGATTCTTGAGCATTGCAGATTTTATTTTTTATTCTAGTTTCCATATCCTGTGATTATGTCAACAGAAAATTAATTTCAAGGTACTTACTTCCACAAATTGTTACTGTAGTTTCCGTTGATAAAAATATGATGTTTAGCAGTTTTCTTGGGAAAAGGATTGTGGATCAGGAAACTGGTACAAAAGACACTGAAACATAAATACATACAATATTTATTAAATAATTGGCAGTATGTGACACCATATTTACCGACTTATCAAATACATGTAACATATAATCTATCCCTAGTCTTATTCACATCCTATCTCCAATCTCGACATCGGTCAACACAAAAAATCCGAAAATATTCAGCCCAAAATGAGTCGACAAATTATTCATAGAATATTTTTGAAAATTTAGCAACTTTCTTCATATCATCTCAATAAGTCTACTATGGTAAAATTAACCTTTGGCTAGATATTGATATTGATTGAAATAGATGAAAAATAATTATTAGTGAAAAATAACAAACTGAAAGAAAGAAAATGATGAAATAAAATTTCACAAACAAAACTGTTTAAAAAATTCTTAACACATAAAAATACCACTAAAAAAATAGACTATTAACATAAGTAATAATGTAACAACATAATGAATATAATAATTGTTAATAAAGTCAAACTTATCCAACAAAAAATCATAAAGAAATTATAAGCACAAAATATCACCAATAAAACTTGAGATATCATAGGATGTTATTATATATATTATTATAAATATAATTCGTTTATTACTGCAGGTTTCTGAATAATGACAGCCATAGAGAAATGTATGTTATTATAAAGCAACTTACAGTTATGCATATTCTATTTATATTAATATAAATAACATTCTATAATATTACAAAACTTATACAGAGTAAACCATAAAAATGCTCAGTCATTTTTCCTTCTGTATTTCGAACGGTCCAAGAGTGAAATTTTAGTGCCTACCCTGTATCATCATACAGAGAGAATTATGGATATATATATGGTGCGAAATATTTTCCTTCAGTAAAAGTAGACTGAGTACATGTCACATCAACAAAAGCTATCATCAATGAAAAAAAAAAAAACAAAATTTGATCAAATTTTTTTAATTTGCCCTGGTCGACTCCCAAAAAGTTGGCTCAATATTAGAAACACTCATAGGTTAAATGAAAAACCAGATAGACTAGAATAACCTATTTTTGATATGAACATTGAAATTTCATTGGAAAATTTCGATTCGTCGAGTTCTCATTCTGAATAAATTAGAATATCAAATGAAATTAATTGTGACTGAATACTCAAAGAACTGGGAAAATGGAAAATAATAATTTTTGTGACGTGGCCAAGCATTACTTAATGAATTATCTAATCATATTAAATGTTGGTGACACGTACTTGAATTTTATTTTTATATAAAAAAGTGGCAGTATAAAATACTCGCCCTCAAGACTTGGTACAAAAAGATCGAATTAGTTGAAGTAACCTAACTATACTGCTACCAAAAGAACGTCAGCACTGAAACGCCGAACTGGAAATACTCAGTATAATTAATTTACCTACAATTTCCCATTATACTAATTTATTTACAAAAGTTGTACTAAAATTTTTCAACTATGATTAGGTTCTTATTTACATTAGGAGATTGATTAATTCATAAATAATATACAGATATTTTACAGTGTCAATAAATTAAATGCTCGATCAATAATTTAGAAGCAATGAGATGAAAACATTGTTGAAGGCAGTGATAACATTGAATACAATTGTACATTTTTCCATGCAAAATAATCCACGCCAATTCGTCAATATCTCGACTCTATTCATCAGTGAACACAAATATGGCAGTAATTTTCGAGCTAACTTGCCTTATGGAAATAAACAACTTTTAATGGAGTATGTTTGGAACCATCATGATATCTTTAAAACGCACTCATAAACAAGTCTTTTCATCAAGGAACAAAAAGAAGAAAATCAAAAAAACAACCCACGAAATGAAAACAAAATCAATTGAAATAAAATCAGTAATAGTCAACTTAATTGAGAATTTTCAAAATAAAATATCGAGTAGGTGCAAATCGAAATATATCATGACAGCCATTGGGTGGTTCTATCCTACCCATACAACGTTAAAAGAACTCCAAATCCCCACGCCAACTGCCATAGAAACAGTGAAAACGGCGTCAATTCTTCCAGTTGAAGTGCTCGCGCGACCTGCCCCACTCGTCCCCCACCAGATGATGCAAATCGTTCTGCTGCTCCTTGTTCCAATCCCAATCCTTACCCTTCGGCCTGAACTTATCCTTCGGCATCTCCTCGCCCTTCGACCACCCGTCGTCCCGCCATTGCTCCCGATAATAGAACTTCTTCTTGAAGTGCGCGTCCGGCCTCTTCTTCTCCTCCGGATACCGCTGGTACTTCAGCAGCGCCGGATTGACCCGCGTCGGGCTCTTCTCCGAGTGCGCAGGCTCGGGACTGAAGTTGATCGCCAGCCCGTCTTTGGCGGGCACGGGCGAGGTGGGAGAAGGCGTGCGCGGCGGGCCCGTTTCTTCCCCTTGGTCCGGGATCGGGGGCGACTCGAGATAGGCCTTGCTGGGCGGCATCTTGAACAGGGTGGGCTTCGCGTTGGGGTGCAGCTTGAGGTGCTGCTTTGAAGGGAGAGGCGCAGAAACGGGGGGCGGATCGCCGTGGCCTATGCCCGAATCGGGGGAGGTGTTGCAGCTGTCGTTGCCTTCGGTGGAGCGCCGCCTCTTGTCGAGTTCGGTCGACGCGAACGCCACCAGCCGGTCGAAGCCCGAGGAGATCCTGTCCTGCCATTTGGACTCTTCTGCGTCTTCTTCCACTGCATCGACATCTAGGGAGAGAGAGAGTAACGATTGATGAGGAAATAGAGGAGTGTCGTTCGACTATCGGTTGAAGCATAGATGGAAATTATTTCTGTGAACCACTATTTATTGGAGATACAGGGTGTTTCTGAATGTTAAGTACATTTCAAAGGTTTATTTCAGGACTAAAATGTTCCATAAGCATATGTCCTAATGCGATTTGTTTTCAACATACAGGATATCAAAGTTGATGAAAAAAAAGTTTCATTCAATTACTGGGCAATAGGCCTTTTCATGTAGATATATTTTTAAGACGCATGCGCTCGTTTTTAGATCCAAAAATTTATTGGGTAATGCGAAGGTGAAGTCTCATTGGCTATAGTTCCAACACAAATTGCTGATTGGCCATTTCGAATATGGGCAATCGTCATTGAGAAACAAAATAACAACATAGTATTTTTGTTTTTATATTCCTGGTGTGTATTAATTGTATTATAATAATTTAATTCCAAGAAACTTACTTGCTCGTTACTTATGGTGTAAGTGTTTGGGTGAAAATGGCCGCCACTGTCGTTGGATGCAAGATGTAAACAGAGATAGTCATTTGTCATCTAAATGAAAAGGCCTATTGGCTATTTGGCTAACTAGATTTCCAGTGGCGCTATTAGGAGGATATTATTTTTTGTATTGTACTAAAGTCAGAAACGAAAGAGAATTTTCAAATTCAATACATAGCTATCAAGGACCGTTCAATTTTATATAGAAAGAGAACCGTTTGTTGGTACTCGTTTTCGAGAAATCACGAGAAAACGAGACCATTTTCCAAATTTTGATGTAAACTGAGTACTCCATATAAGACATCCGTTCAGTTAACTGGGGAAAAACCATGATAATATGTAACATTCAGACTAAATTTTGCCATCACGAAAAGCTGTACAGGGTGGACAAATTTCTAACTTTGACGGCGTGTATCTCGAAGACGATGCGATTCCAGACATACATTTATAGGAACATTCAGTACTATAGTATGAAGTAAAATCACGAACTCCAATATAACGTCAAGAAACAGCCTGTATAATTCAATTTTACTCCATCAAAACTTACAGTAAATCCTACCCCACTCTGGAAAATCAGAATACATTCGAAAGATATAAAAATAATGACTTGATTCAAAAATGTTTTCAATACTGATTAGGCGAAATTCTAATGATTTTGACTGAACCACCACCACCACCACAAGAAAAGTGGAACAGATAAAATTGAGCTAGAGCAAAATTAAGATAAAATAGCGCAAAGCTACTTACCACCACTTTTAATCAGCTTCTAAATCTAGTATGGTAGGGGGGTAATATGCATGCGCTATATTGTGCGCGTGAGTTTTGTGTGCATGCCTGAATGTGCTGCCTCCTAGTCAACGCAAACAAACTACAGTAAATATTGGATACTTCAAACTAAATGCCATTATTACACGATTTACTCTTCTTTAACTGTACTCACCCAATGATTTACCATGGGCCATCATCAACCAAAACAAATGAGTGCTGTGATTCAATAAAATGTTGAAAACCTATGAATTTCTGATGACGTAATAAAAGGTTCTTTTTCTCTCTCATCTTTGGATTTGTTTGTCCATTGTCGTGATTACATCCACGAGAAATTTTCAATTTATATTTCGCGAAAAGGTTATTTCATTAGTCCTGAATGAATCATTCATTCTGGTAAACCATTAGGTAGCTGAACTAGTAAACTAGTAAAAGTCCAAATCGTGCATATAATGATAATCAGCTACTCAAAATTGGTTAAAACTAAATTACGTTGACTTAAATACTATTGAAATTTATTGTCATTCATATTTTGTATCTACAAATACCTAGAAATTTACAGTCAAATCAAAATACAGAGGTTGAAAAAGTTCAGGCAGATAATTTGTAAATCATCGCGAATTGTGAAATCAATTCCCTCAAGCAAAATATAACACACATAAGAAAGTATGAAGCTGACAGCTTCATGAAAGGCATGCATTTCAAGAAATACAGAAGATTCTCCCTAGAAGTATTATTTGAACCTTAAAAGCCCACTGATCTAGATTAGTGCTGTTCACCATTGGAAAAAATATAACATCTTGATTAAAAAGGTTATAGATTGGTCCACTTTTCAGATTCTGAATATATATATGATTTTAAATGATCAACTAGCTAGTTGTTATTAATGATGATTAATCGGACGGAGTATACTTTCCTGGAATCTCTTCTATTATAAATAGGTTGATTATTTAGTCTATTTGAGAAGTTAACCACCAAAAGGATTTGCCAAATATAGAAAAATGTTTCCGAGTTTCATTGCTAACTATCTGGGAAGGTTGATTGGTGTCTGCAGTTCTTTTATTTTAGTAAGTATTCAATCAATTCAGTCAGTGATGTATAGAACAAAATAGAAAATAGATATTTCAAGTTAATTTACTCACCTTCAATAAAACAGCGGTAGGACTGAATAAATGAATTAGGATTTTACATATAGATAATTATTATTCAAAACAAATTTCCATGAAAAACATCAATTTTTCAATATTGACAATGTAAAATCCAAAGTTTCAAACACTAATAAAAAGATTCATTAAAGACCATTCACTTTCTAAAAACTGTCTACACTATGTATGAAAAATTAAAAAATCAACAAACCTTTGATTCTCTCTGATTCATAGATGTGAACTCCATTTTAGTGTATTCATTCTAATTTGTACTATATAAAGCATTGTGAAACTACAAAGCATTGAATGTACAGCACTCAGCAATGAAAAATAGAAGTTATTAAAAAAGGCCAAGATCTACGAATATCTAGACAATTAGTACATGTTTTCTTATATCAAGAAAATTTGAATAGATTTGCCAGTAAATTTTGTACCCAAATATATTTTTACAAAATTTACAATATCAGAGAAAAAACATGAACTGGAAAATGTTCCAGAAATAGCAGCAGTCCTATTTTTCAATATACAGCTGAGGCAACATATTTAAAGTTTTAAGGACTATGGTGATGTCATTCTAGAAATTGAGAATAATTTTTTTTTAACGAAAAGTTCATTTGAGCTAGGGATATAACTTTTCTCTTACCCATGCAGAACTATCATTATTCTACCATTATCACAACAGATTATCAAGAACTTCAATGAATAAATACTATTACCTTTCTTTCAATAGTCGAAAATGAAACATAAAACATTTTCGGAAAAATGAATTGACAGAGGATAATATAGGTACCATTCCGAGTATACGGGTGTTTTCAAATATGGGTCATTTTCATCAACAGGATGTAGAATTCAACAAGATTAACCATAATGACCAAAATAGCGAAACTAACTATAATATATTTCGTTAATTGCTGATATGGATATGTCATCCCCTTCAAAGAGGTATAACTCACTCAATATCAATATTCCCGAATGGGTTTATAAAAAATAGTAACTTTGTTTATGGATGTATATACTATCATCCCCAGAAATATCAGGAGACAATTCCCACTCAATCTATACAGTGTCCCTAAAAGGTTTTTACAGAAACTTACCACATATTCCTCTCACCAAGATAATCAAGCTATGCGAACGTACCAAATTTGAGTTAAACCTCATGAGCCGTTTCAAAGTTATGAAGACAAAACGATTCGAAAATTGCAACTTCAGAGCCGTCTAGCGCCCAAACTAAGCAACTCTGTACTGAGATAAGTTTACTTGCATCAGATTGTTTTGGTCTTAGGAATATGTGGTAAGTTTTTATGAAAACCTTCTAGGGACACCAGCGAATTCCTGTGAAACTTTGGTGACTTCCATCAGCCAAGAGGAAGCCCCACCATCTGAAAACACCCAGCACGACCTAGTCTCCCTCGTTAGTAACCGCTCGAGTTAAAACACCAAACACCATCTACTCCTACCCCCATGCACCCCTCCTATTCCCCTCCGGCACCCACCTTCCTCGTTCCCCTTCCTGCTGCGCTCGTGGTGCCCCTCCTCCGTTAACAGCGGCGGCTCCTCGGGAGAGCCCCGCCCCCCTACCACGTACCCGCCCCGCCTGTAGCCAGCGCCACCACGCTTCACGCTTTGGATGAGGGGCGGGTCACGCTGGTACGGGGCGGGGCCGTCCGACTCCGCCTTCACGGTTGGGCTCGGCTCCTGATAGGGCGGGTGCGTATAAGGGGCGTGCCGGCGGTCGTAGAGGTCGACCTCCTCCTTGATGGGCGGGGCGAGTGCGCGAGCCTGCAGGCTGGCCGCCAGACCTGGGATTTCGATTGGTTTAGCGACAAGGATGGATACTTAGGTAGGAAGGCCGAGGAAATAGGGTTTCTTCGGTGTTACGAAATAGTACGTCAAATAACTAGCCTCTAAAAGGTTGGGGCATAACTTGACCATATCTGGGATAATTTAACCCGCCGAATCACCTCTGATGTGTCGACATTGTGATATACACATTGAACTATCTGATTGTAAGGTATTCTATAATTAATTGATAATTTTTTATATATGATGTATAATCACTGTTTCTATCGTACAAATAATCCCTTGTTTTTTGAGGAATAAGAAATCATTGTTGAAATATCCAACAGAAATTTAGTGGTTAAACACAGAATAATGAATTATATCTGTCAAATGTTGAAAATACCTAATTTTAGGAAAATAAAAAATGTACAATAAGTATCTGTGACTGTCGTTGTATCAAGAATACAGGAATATGACTAGGACAATGATATCACGGGTGTGATTAAACGATGAGGTGTCAGTTACGTAACGCATAGAGAGATCGATGGCATTGTTGAAGCGCTCTCGGTCGGGATCACATGTTTGTTGATAAATAATATTATTTGGTTGAATAAGTTTACTTTATTTTGGTTGTTTGGTGGCCGTGTAGTTTATAGTTCAGGTGTTGGGGTGAACATTCATAGTCAACTTTGAAATTTCCGACTGCTACGTGTAATGAACTTTGATATTGAAACATATGAAATAATCCGGTTGGAATTGAACTGCCCTACCCCAGCTAGTCCAGCTACGCTACTGATTGACATCCAATCAACTAGAGTGACTATAAATAGAGTGACGACAATAATAGTGGTACACTTTTTGATTGGTCAGACCTCTAATATGGTGGTGCTTCTACCTGTTTTGTTCCTCCATTCAGTTCTACGCATTCTATTTCACTTTGTCAATGCTTTGTCTCTGTTTTTTGCTCTTCGGACACAAAACATCCAACAATCAGACATGAAACTCTATACGTCAGTACCTTGTGTAGTAGGCTACTTGGGCTAGAATCGCAATTATACACGTAGGCACAATAAACACTTATATTCGACTTCTGTTAGGTACAACTTGTCTCTACAATATCTGAATGATTAATGATGAGTCCAACCTTATCCCATTTACATTACATAAAACTATATTAGTCACTATCAGCATAGCTATCAGTATGAGTCAAGTCAGATGCCTTTCCATAGGCGGGTCTCACACTTGGATATTAACTATCAGATAGACTCGTAAGCCTCAGATTAATTAGATGATGAAATTAGAATATCAAATATCTAAACCCAACATCAAGCGGACACTTCGAAGGCGCAAATTCATTAGTGCATGGGAGATACCCTTTCGATTTTTAGCTATTCAGTGACTTGACCAACAATGCCATTCCGGAAACGGCATTTGGAGGTCTATTGCCGTCATTCTATATCTATAATCTACTCACTTCAATAGCGAATTCCATTGGCAGGAACTGGTGGATTGTTTCTCCACGAAGTGTATATCTACCTCTGTTCAACACATGCGAGTGAGTAGGAAACATATACATTCAGTGCAGAAGCACTCCACTAGTTGCTGCCAATGGAATTCTCTATTAGTGGACCTTTAAATTATTGCGATTTTCTTTCTCTCAAATTTTCATTATCTCTTCTATCCTGCACATCTGTAACGTTTCCTAATCTATGTAGCAACTACATCCGTAAACAGCATTTTTTATTTTAATTTACGTACGCAAGTTCATGACTGTGACCCCTCTCTCTCTCCCTAAACACAAAGTTTTAACAGTATATGCGATCTTTATCATGGAAACGGTGTGCTTAATTAAAAAACATCTAGGAAAATTTGACACTACCTCTGCACACCATGCCACCCGACAAGCAGGTAACATTAAATTACCAATTCCATCATCGGCTCTAGTTAAAGATTCAATAATTTATGTAGGCTGTAAGATGTTCAATCATTTGCCAAAATACACCAAGGAAGTTGGATCCAATAAAAAATTCAAGCATAGAATAAAAGCACTCTTTTCGGATGAACCCTATTATAGTTTACAAGAGTTTTTTGGTGATACATTTTAACCATAAAACCATTTTTAATTAGGAATATTTTAATATGTTGTAATGTGTCCCTTATGAACTAGCTAAGTGTTCAAATAGATTTTAAAATGTTTTGTTGTTATAGTAGCGATTTCCTCTTGTTCTAGTCTTGATATTTATTTCAAGGTTATTTTTTTTACTTACTTTGTCAATGAGATTTTACATCTTTAGACAATAAAGCATATTCTCTCTCTCTCTCTCTCTCTCTCTCTCTCTCTCTCTCTCTCTCCCCCCCGAATGAAAGTTGTTCCGCCGCCAATACCAATAATAAAAAATAACTCCCTCACCTTCAGCCACGAAGTTGTTCCTCGGCTCGTGCTCCTGCCCGGGCGGCTTCACGTCGCTGAAATAACTCTCGTGGTAGGGCTTGATGTCCGCCCTGGGCAGCGGCGTGTACATCTCGCCGGCCGCGTACGCCGAGGTCGGCGGGTTCGGCCGCGCCTGCGCCGGATAGAGGACGGTCGTGCGCGGCGAGTACTGCTGTCTGGGGCTCGGCTGCGGGGGCGTTATGTATTGCTGGAAAATTCGAGGGCGGTTTTAGGGGTCGGCGAGGCGGTTCGGCCAGCGTCGGTCGAAATGAGAACCTAAGTAGTAGGCGACGGGAGGTGTATTGTCTGTTTAGTGAGAACATCGCCCTTACTCACTTGATTATTATGCATATAAAAATTATATAACTAAGGAATTCGTGGCAATGCCTATGAATTCTTTGTGTTCAGGACACTCAAACCAGTTTTGCAGCAAAAACAATTACTCATCGTATACCATTGCTTAGCAACATCAACTTTGCCATACGGTGTTAGGATACGGTGGAAAGGAAGGTCATTGTACAAAGTAGCCTGGACAAATATTGAGTTTTGACCAAGAGTTGTAGAGAACCTCATTGTTTTCAAATCTCCTAAAATTCTCGATTCATTGACTTTATTTGAATTTGAGTATGAACTAGTTACTCATCAGTGATGTGATGAAACATAACTGTTTACACTTTATTGCAATTCTTATTTGCCTTTATATTGCTGATGAACTCACTGCATCATCTTCATTCCTGGAATATCAATAAAACTCTTACCTGATGTTTTTGGAAGCAATTGCATGTTGCCTCAAATTCACGTAATCATTGAGAAGTTGATGAATTCCACATATCTCAACCTAAATAAAAAATTTAATTTGTCTGGTGTTACCATTTGAAAGCTGAAATTGTCCAAATTGACTAATATTCTATTGTTTACAAATGAGCTCCCAATGTGTTCAGCAAACTAGCGCCACTGACAGGCTGAAAAATTTTGGTTCACTGAGCAGAAAATATTATACCTCTCGCCTACTAACTAGGTTTTTATTTAGAACGACAATGGTTCAGCGGATCGGTTTCTTAGGGTTCACCAATTTTGGTGATCTCAAGTCTCAGATGTACATCGAGCTTCATCCATTTAGCGGATAGACTCGGCTGATACAAGACGAAAATCCATGTTGACTGTATTATAACAAAAAAACACACTATTAGATTCATAGTTTATGTTTTGTATGTCTGGAATGAATGACTGAAGATGACTGAAGTAAAGAAGAACATTCAGAAATGCATAATAAGTGAATGAAGGTGTGGAATATCAATCATGATAGTTTTTACTCATCATTCACATTTTTCACCAAAGACTATACTAAGTACTTAGCGATTTTTAAATTTTTAGGAAGTCTAAATCTTTCCTGTGAATATTCTCCAATGAACACCAGAAATATTCAATTAGGAAGGTAGGGGTGATGGTCAAACAGGAAAACACATGACTACACGAGTCAAAGAACACAAGAAACTTAGTCTGATTTATTAATGGTAATGGAAAATATGTTACAATGGAAATTAAATTCGGTTTCTTTTCCTAGTTGAATTTGGTGTATGGTGAGCAAGGCTATGTGTCCACATGAAAGAAATGAAATTATTTTGTGACCAGGATTAATGCAATAGATTTTATTAATATGTTTATGAACTTGGTCATTTTGCAACTTCCACATGATACGTTGTTGGTTAAATGATTCATTTTAAATACAACTGCAAAATGTCAGAGACTCAATAGACACATAAAAACCGAATTAAATTTCCAGAAGAAAAAAAAACAACATACTAATTAGCTATTAGTATCGTTCATGCAAAATTTGCGTGAGTAAAAATATAAATACTTTAGATAGGTATTACCATGAGCGATCCCAATTCAATTGGTGTTAGCAAATTCTCTTGTTGACTTGTTATATAAGAATTCGTATATGATACATTCATAGAAGTGATATTCGACTTTTAAATTTCTAGGAAATCTGGATCTTCTCTGTAAATATCCTCTGGATGAAGGACATACCAACAATTTCCTACATTTTCTCCAACAAACATCAGAAATCTTCAATTTGCAAGGTGACGTCGTTGGGCATACAGGGAAACGAATGACTACACGAGTCAAAGAACACGAGAAACCCAGTTAGAATTAACAATGGTACATATTGGTAATTAAATAAACGAAATTTGATGTGATTTTTCTGTTAGCTAAATTTGGTTTACGATGAGCAAAGTAAAGTGTAGCAATTATAAAATTTTAGGAAGTCTGGGTCTTCCCTGTAAATATCCTCTCGGTGAATGGCAGACCTTCTTCTACAGAATCTTACAATTTCGAAACGGTGTTTCTCCTACAGAATCTAACAATGACGAAAATATGTTTGTCATACAGGAAAACGCATGACTACACGAGTCAAAGAACACAAGAAACCCATGGTGATGAAAATATGTAATTTAATGTATAAACGAAATCCGATGAGATTCTCCTGTTAGTTGAGATGGCGATGATCGACGTCCGGCGCTCAGCCAGATCTCCGCATATACTTACCTTGACGTGCGAATGCATGAAGGCCAGTCCCTCCAACCCCTCGGCAGAGGAGGGCCTGGAAATGGGGCTGTACACCTGCTGGCGCATCGGCTCGACTTCTTTGGGGGTGGGCGGGGTCTCGGGATTAGGCACTTTGACGTTAACTCGCTCTGGACGGGGAGGTAAATTCGCATTGACTACCGACCTGGATGTCAGCGTGGCAGTACCTTGAATATCACTCATATCAACTGCTGCATTTATTATTGACTGGTTGGATATTTCGAGGGTTCTCTCGATTTCACCTGACATGAGATCCCCTGGAATGAACATTTTCCGTGGCAATATTCTTCACAGGATCTTACTCTCAATCAACATCAATCGTCAAAATTGAGCCTCTCAGATACATTGATTGATTGATCAATTCTGGAGCTCATAAGGATCTTCGACAAATTTCAAACTTCACATTTTCCGGTTGTTATTTCAATGATAGAATACAATAGAGTTTATTTATCTCATATAATCAATTAATGACATATGATAGATCGCATATGAGCAAATTAAAATTGAAAAGTCTAGCCGAAACTGAAACATTTGCCTTGAAATATTAAAATCAACCAATAACTTAGGTCAACAAAACGTAATATACAGAAAATATTACAAAAAAGCTATAAACATACAGGTACATCAAAAATTCAGATGAAACAAAGTATTCATAGCAATTTGGACATAATTTAACGATTATTTTCAAAATATTGTGGGAGGCTATTGTGAAGTTAAATAATTCCAATTGAAATTTATCCACGACTTTATGAACAACCTTTATTAGAAGTGTGAACTGAGAGAACACTCAATTTTGAGGATTGGCAGTGATTTTGACCCAACATCAAATTACATTCAATACAAAAACATAATAAACATTGTACTACAAAGTGCAGGATTCAAAACCATTGTTCTTAATTTTGCAGGGTCAAACACACTATAGAAAAGTAGTATGATAACTGTATCAAGAAATATGGAAAAGTTTGTAAAGATTTGTTTTATATACAGTGTGTCCACGTCAAGGGGCTAAAAGAACATTTATTGTTAGGTGCCTGTTTGAAATTAACTTTCAACAAGTGTATGACTACATGTTTGGCTCAACGGTGGGCCAATTCCATGGACTCAAATTTGAGAAAGTACCATAAGGAATTTTTTTTCACTGAAACTAGAATCACTTGAAACATACATGTACATAATAAAAAAATACAGATTTTACTAGTGGAAAGTCCTCAACATGGACACACTGTACACCTTTTATTTTCATGAAATGTTTCAATCATCTGTAAAAGTTGAAAGTATACTAGTGCCACTTTTCCTACTTCCTTGTCAGGTGGATCAAAATTTGATGCTTCAATTTCAATATTTCTGAGATACATTTATAACAGTTTATTGAAGGTTTATGACAAAATATCAAGAAAGTTCGTGAGGTCGGTTAGATCCCTCTTGTTAGAGAAACAGAACATTGACAATATTGAACACACACGAAAATCGTTGTACTCGCGCCAAATGCGTTAATTTCTTGTTAAATGTGAAATTCGTCAAGAAGTAAAACCGATTAACCAAACCGTTTCACTATCATTCAAGAGTGGAAACATTTTCGTTGTGATAAGCAAACCAAAACATCAAATTCTTCACGAATCAACAGAAGCAAACAAAAACCCAAGACATGCTCAAAATACAGTTCTGAACACACAGTGTTCTAGCTCTCTTTGATAATAAAATATCACATCTGATATCGAAAACCCGTCAAACCCTTCGTCGTCGAAAGAGTCGAATCATGAGTGGCCCATTTAGTGTGTTTAGAACTGTATGACCAATTGAGCTCTTTTCTACCTTGAACGAGAGAGAGGAAAGTTCTCTCCTCTTCCATCTGTCTCTTCATTGCAACCAACGTGGCCGCATTGAAATATAGAGATGATGAATCTTTCCTTGTCTAACGTCTACTCTGCGCCACTGAACTATTTTCGATGTTATAATGATGTGACATATCTATGTCATAAATGCCGTTCATTGATTACCTTTGGAATTTTTTAAAGGAAATTTCAAATTATATCATTCTTATTTTGACATCATTTGTTGATATCGTCAAATTTGACTCTCTGCTGAGTTCAAAAATAGTTCAGTGGCACAAAACCAGATGTTAGACAAAGACAGTTGGTGTCATTGAAGAGAAAGGTGAAAGAGGAGAGAACTTTTCTCTCTCTCGTTCAAGACAGAAAAGACCTCAATTTAATGTGGATTGAAGCTATATGTGTCGACAAAAAATTCTGTTTTCAAATTGGTATAGCAGCAAGAACATGTTCCACTACTTAACTAAGAGGTATGTGAAATAAAAAAAATCGAGAATCATGAAAAAAAAAAATAGTTTTTCATGATATTCGATTTTTTCTACGAATCCTTGGGGCACCTCATAATATTATTTTAGAGAAACCATCTGTTAGGTATTCAAATTATACTTATATTATAATGAACATTTGATATTTTGTTTTGTTATAAGTACAACTTTTAATTTGGGATAAAAATTATATCATTAACTATGCGACGATATTTCAAATATTTCGCGCCCTCTGAAAGGCAGATTGTATGGTTATTCTACCACAAGCTCTCAATTATCATCTTATCGACCGCTTTTCATTATTAACGGTGTAACTATAGTGAGAAACGCTGGAAAGTGTTAATGGTGCTGATTGGGGCGACTTTACATCACCAGAGCAGTATTCTTCACACGTAGGCCGACCAGAAGAGACATTGACACAAGGTGAGCCATTTCTGCCAATCAGTCGTTTTCAATTCTTTTCCAAAACAGTTTGATAGATATTCATCATTATACAGTCCATAAGTTATCAAATTCAACACCATCTTTCGCATAGCTCTCAGTTAAGTAGCGGAGCATGTTTTTGCAGCTATTTCAATTAGAAAAAGGAATGTTTTTTTTCCACACATATAACTTCACTCCACCCTAAATGACCATTTACCAAATCTCACTCCAAAACAGACCAAAAAGTATCAGAAAACCGAGCAGCGAACTCACCGATCGTCCTCGTCGCCACCAACCCCTCGCCGCCGCCGTACGGCGTCTGCTGGTGAGCCAGCCGCTCCTGTGACAAGTGCCGCCTCAGCGCCAGCTTGGCGGGCGACACTTGCGTGTAGTCGGGCCTCTCGGCGCTCGGCTGGCGAGGCGCCACCGCTTGAGCGGGCCCCCTCGGGATCTCCTCTCTGTAGCCCTCCATCATGCCGGCGAGGCCCTCTTGCGGCGGTCGCGGCCGCTGGTCGTCGGTCTGTCGCACGACGGTCTCGCAGCGCGGGGAGTACTTGCTTTGCTGCAAACAGTTTGCTTTTCCTTAACCAATCTTTTGCCAATATTGCGTTAACGCAATATTATAAACACAATTCTTTTTCATACTTTTTTGTCGATGTATGGATAATTGAACATTGGGTACTGATGAACAGAGGATTGCACTAAAAGTTGTTCTATCCGTCATTCGGTTGCCCCCTTACGAGCAACCCTCAGAAGTCTTCGAGAGACTTGTGCGAGCAAGGAATGACGGGGGCCTTAACTTTTAAAGTGTGATCCCAAACACTTTCTTGGGCCATCAGAAATTTCTGCAGTCGATGGGAATCGAACCCACGACCGGCAAGCGAATGCGGATTAGAATATTGACACTCTGTCCGCACGGCTACCTGGCCCCACTATTTCAATATATTCTTAATAATAATAATAATAATAATGGAAGATTTTATTGCCAGTCTAGTTAACTCGGTACATGCAATTTGAATTAGATAATCCACTGACAAGAGGCAGAGTTAGCGCTTTGCCTGCTAACACAGTAAGCAGATGTAACAGTTAGCAGGTGTACACTCTCTTACACTCAACCTGTTAGAGAAATAAACTTATGATTGGGCTCTACTTCAGTCCACTTCATTTCCTGATGAATGAAATATGTACTAATTTGGATGAACTTGGACTTAGCCAATTTCGCAATTTTTTGGCATCGCCGACATTTTATTATCTAACTTTTCCATGTTTGAGTCTCTAATTATACTTGGAGCTGCAAACGAGAATTATTGGATATAGTAATCAGAATATGTGAAAAAAGGCATAACAATTTTACTATGTCAGCATTTGGCAGGACGTGCTGTGACTACTCAGAAACAGAATTTAAACAGACCGTATCGATATCGTTCAAAAACCCCGCTAGGAGGTGTACTCTCATTTTCTATTGCAAATTTAAATCACAGAGTCAGATGTGACAATTTCTTCACTAGCCACGCAATTATGGTCCATCTGAAAATTTTAGGTTTTTGCGCAACAGGTACTGTCCAGAGAGGATCTCGTGGCAAGATCTGTCAGATGACCGACTGGAGGTAAAACATCGAAACGTAACACCTTTCGGTTTTAAATAGTTTTTCACAATTATTTTGGCATACGAATCGTGTTTTGTGGGTTAATACAAGCATGCCAGCACTTGTGCTGTTGTACAATGGACAAAAAATGCAGCGAGAGATGAAGGAATTCCATTTTTCAGGTAGGTAGGTACATTCTGATCTGAAAGAACTATAGTCCATCACTCACATGTAGTTCTCATTTTGAAATGTTGTCATTTCTCATTGGAATTCCTTCTGAAAAAGGAGTTAATAGAAATACTAGTGAAGTTTCAAAAAATAGGCAAGAAGATTGGATTTATGCAATCAAACAGGAGGACTGGACTGACATGCTGACGAAATATGATCGATCGTGTGTGTTGTAGACATTTTGACTCTATTAGCAGTATTAGCTTCTATTGCAGAAGTGGCAGAAGGAATTCTAATGAGAAATGACAAAATTTCATGATGAAACTTATGTGAGATCAGTATTTACCTGGAAAATCATATTCCTTCGTCTCTCGCTGCATTTTTTGTGCGTTGTACAACAGCCCAATGTGATGACATGCTTGAATTAATGAGTGGACCAAAAACACACGTAAGCCAAAATATTGTGAAAAACTATTTCAATCCTTTGATTCCCTAGTAAACAAATAAGAGAAGTGCACGCGACCTATTGTGAATCTGTTTGACCAGTTGTGCAAGTCAAACGTTTTAGCCCTAAGGAAAGGAAAGATGATGAGGTAGTTTATCCAGATATGATGCATAAATACAACAGTTATATATTATTGGATACATAAATCTACATGATGGAATAACCACCGTAAAATATTTTTGTAAAATTTGATATTTTACATTTTTTGAAAAAACACGTGACATGAAACAACAAATTTGGTCACAGAACACTAAAATTATACACTGTTGCCAAGTGTGAGGACTCCTTTCAGAAGGAATACTCAAGGGAGGTGTATAAAACAAGTTTAACGCCAAGTTCTCAAGGAATCCTCGGATGAGGAAGGCTTGAGGGGTTCTAGAGCAAACGACAATAAATGCGGGCCTAACGAAGTAAAGTCGATCAGTACTTACAGGATACTTCCTGTGCTTGTCCTCCTGCTTCGGCTGGACGAAGCTGTTCTGATAACCGTAGCCGTGAGCTCCGTAAGTCGCTGCTTGCTGCTGCGTACCACCGTTCACGTTCGGCTGGCCGTACTGCAGCAGCGGCGCCTGCGCCTGCTTCGTCCTGTTCTGCACGTCCTCGTTCAGCACCGAGGTGATGATGCTCTTCAGCCGGTCTTCGAAGTTCGGCAGACGCGGGGGCTCCTGCGCCTTCGCGCTAGCGACCACATTGTTCGGTAAGCTTTTACCGGCGGCTTCGCTCGCGTTGAAGCCCTTGAATGAATATCGAAGAATCACTTCAATGTGTCGTTTTATTTGCAACTTTTCCGATTCCGGTTGCTACTTTTCATTCCGTCTCACTACAAGGAATGATGTGGAATGACTGCTGACAGTTGTCAAAAAAGGAAATTAGATTGATGAATAACGAAACTTTCTGAAAAAAGGAAACGATTGGAAGATCTTTTCATCTTGGGGTTCATAAGTTTATGATTCTTCCAAGTAAGACAGGTTTCAAATCTTCATTCGAAAATAAAATGAACTCTCGATCTCGGACAACTTTCTCCAATCAGCACAAGCACCGCTCCAGATATGCGTTGATTAATCTTCTTGATCAGTATTATGAATTTGAAATTATTCGGAGCCCCAATATATAAATTTAACCTCTATCATTTATTCTCTCATGCTAGGTCATGAAGATTGTCGTTTTATTTGCAAACGTCATTCTGTTCCCAACACCGTTACCAGAATGGAACAACGCAACGCATAAATTCAGCTGTGTAGAATTTTTATATAGGGTATATCTAAATTACGCCGAAAAAATTCAGGGGGTGATTCCTAGTGATATTTCAGGAAATGAAGCTCATATAAACATGTCTCTTAACTTGCTTCGTTTTCGAGATATAGGATATAAATATTTCCATGGAAAATCTTTTTTCTATTCATTTCTCAATTGTCTTTTTATCAATTTCAATAAAACGTTGTGGTTTTGTTGATGGTAATATGGAGCTGCTTCTAGTGCAATTAGATTCGAAATAATATTTCCAGTGACGTCACAGTGGGTAAATTTATCGATATTCTTGATTTTCTTCGGTGTTATTCAGATACACCCTGTATATTTGATGTTATGTTCTGTCATTTATAAGAATATTTTTGTACACTATGTTGCAAGTTTTTCGGTCCGGTACCAAAATGTGTAAATTTCGGGCATTAGATAAACGCGAACAGGCTACATATACCGGGTGTCTGGCTCATCCCTATAACTCTTTTTCTATAGATAAACAAATGAAATTCAGTGTAAGTATAGTACAAAAAAATGCATTATTTGAAATATTCAATTGTTTTCAGTCATTTCCGGTTTGATGGGAAATTACCCTCATTTTCTTATTTTAAATGGGACACTCGGTATATTTTCACTTATTTCTATAGAGAACCACATTGTGAGACACCCCATTTGCCACTTCTTGACATTTATCATCAAAAAATTTCCAATTTCTCAATTTTCAATCTAGAGTGCCATGAGTGAGTAAAAACAGTTGATTTTGAAACAAGTTACCAAGGAAAAATTGTTTTCGTCTGCCATATTCGTTCCGTCATCTCGAATTTCCACATTTAGATGAAAGAATCCCAATCTCCGACCCCGACAACCCCCGTATACCAATTTAGAATATAATCGGAAAATAATTACCGCCATATTGGCTTGGTCATCTTGAATCTTCAAATTTTGACGAAAGAATCATTATCTCCGACCCCGAAAACCCCCAGGTACCAATTACGAATGGAGGCGGTTTGTAATTATAAAACTCGTCCGCCATATTGGTCCCTAGCCCCCCCCCCCCCCATGCGAACGTCCCTGTATAGTATATAGCAATACAGAAAATATCCGTCCCAGAGCCAACATCATTGAAATAGCTAATGACTATCGGCCCCAACAGTAACTGCCTCCACATTATTTTTTTCGAATTAATCACTTCAAAAAAGAAAGAAAAAAGTGAAATACGGAATTTGAACCCGGGATCCTTGGCTTATCAAGTACGGACCTTGATAAGCCAGTGGCCATCAAGTGTCTTACGAATTTATCTACCAAATAGATTTATAAGGGAGTGATAATCATCACCACACGGATGTTTTGTTGCCTTCTTAAAACATACTTTTTGTATGATAAAAAGTATTCTATGCCCTTCCTAATACATCCAAGAATCTTTCAACAAAATTGCATGATAATCGGTTTGAGTAGTGAAGTGAAAGCCCGACAAACAAACTTACATTCACATTTATAATATTAGCAGGAATGGCAGCCAGGTTAGCGGTGGGGTAGCTGTGGGAGGTCTTCTGTCTCTTCGTCATGGGCAGGGGCGCCGGCATGTTATTGCGTACCAGAGGTTTCTGACCGGTCGGGAAGGTTTTCGCCGAGGCGACGACTTGAGGCACTTTGTTATTGATGGCCGACATCTTGCTGGCCTCTATTTTCCTGCCCGTCTCCAGGATCTTCTGAGCTAGGATTTCCGGGTTTTGTTCCTCGATTTTGGCGATGTCCGGCACGTCAGGCCAATCCTGGGACCTGGCCCTGTACTCTCTGGATTTCCTGGACGCTTTCGCCGGCTGCTGTTGCTGCCTGGCCGCCAGAGCTTGAGCTTGCTTCCTATCCTCGCCGGTCTTCTGCAAATTCACTATATCTCCTTCTAGCTTCGACACTTCGTTCTGCAATTTCTTCCTGTGCGTCAGAGTCGAAGATATTTCTCTGAGTATGTATTCCTGAGCTACGCTGGGAGACAGCTCGTGGCCGGCGTTAGGCCCGACGTACTTTTCGCAGACTTCCGATTGCCGTTGCAGTACCAGGTGATCCTTCTCGCTTTCCAGATTCGCTACTTGGCCCTGCAGCTTGCTAGCTTTAGCTTGCAGCTCCTTATGCCTGCAGACGATTTCCTTCGCCTTCGCTAGCAAGTCGACGGGGGAAGTGGCGTTTATTCCTAGCTCGCTCATTCGCGCTTTCAGTAGAGCCACACTGTCATCGATGAGCACTTTTATTTGTTTTTCCAGCTGCGCGGCACGATTTTTCAATCGCTTGTTCCTTTCTCGCTCCTCCTCGATCTGGGTGTCCACCAAGGATTTGTACATGGGGTTCTTCATTTGGTTTATCATCTGCATGTAGTGACCCTTGAACATGTCCAGGAGTACCTGAAAATATCATGAAATTGTTTTCGAGAAGCTCTTTGGAGACGATCAAACTTGTGTAAATTCGCTCAATTTTTGCGACTGAAATGAGATATAAATGACAGAAGGAGACGTTTCTACTGATGCGAAATAATTCGTTGATGGTTGTTACATTATTTTATATTTATTTGTGTATGAAAGCTTTACTTTCATTCCAAAAACGAGAACAGGCGAATAAAAATTGGATCAATGGATGGATTAATGAATCAAAATTTTTCGCGAACTCATCATAAAGTTCAATTGAGAGCAATAAACGCCTAAGATAAGGGTGCATTATTAATATTGAAATAATAATCAAATGTGGATTCGTTCGAAGGAGATAATTCAATGTTTTGTGTGGCATTAGCCGGGAACAATTTTATTGTGGTAATGAATTTTTGCTTCATATCAAAAAATAGATATTTCTCATGTAAAATTCCCGAGAAACAGGACGTTTAATGAAAATAGCAACTTTTACATCACAACCTGTAAACCAAAACCTAATATTTTTCTTTCAACTCTCCTTCTGAAACAATCTTGAAAGTGACTGTATTTAAATAAAATGAAATGATGGTTTCTGGATGACGAAACGTCGGATTTCAAATTTGAAAACGCCAACTTGTAGAAAAGAAAATGTGGCCATGATACAGTGTCAAGCATTCCTATTAATTTCTTCAAATAACTTGAAAAAAAAAGCTTTTATGAAGTTTCGGTTATTTTCATCTCTGAAGGTATTCCGAATTTTCCAAATTTCAAGACGTCATTTTGTTAGGCATAAAATTGCGCAAATTTGCCATAATTTAACCGACACTGTATCTCTTACAGTTTACGAAATCCCAATGATGAGGCTCGAATTCCAGCCACACTGTACATAAATCGGAAACTAGGAAAATATCAATGATACACCCCGGCGTAGAAATGGGTGGGCGACTCACCTGTAGCCCATAAGGCGTGTCCGAAGGTTGCTCCGGTATATCCAGCTCGTTGTGCACGATCAGCTCAGAACTGAGCGACGTCAGCTTCTGATCGACGCACCCCGGCGCCGGAGGCGGCTTCTTGCCGGCCGCCTGCGGCGACGTGCTCAGCAGCGTCTCGTTGTGCAGCAAATCGAGCCCGTTGATCTTGATCTGCTTCTTCGTCTTGGCCTTCTTGACGCGCCCCCTGCGGGCCTTCGGTGCCGGCTTCTGCATCAGCGGTTTCTCGGGCGGCTGGTTCTTGCCCGCCGGTCGGTTCACTTTGCGTCTCAGCTTCTTCGGCTGCCTTTTGCTCTGGAAACGACAGAAACGAGCTCAGACCAAGTAAAAATAGATACAACACGACGAACACGAATAAATAAACGAAATCGCGAATGATGGGGCTATCTCTGACGAATAATTGCCAGAGAATCGATATATTCGACTTCTTCAATCTGAGTAAAAAGAGATAAACACCGTGATCCATTTGAAATCATTAAAAAGTGTACGCCAACAAGCCTAAACGCCAAACACAGATGAATGAATGGAATCGCGAATGATGGGGATAACTGCGGAATCAATGCCAGAGAATAGAATATATTCGGCTGCCTCTTGCTCTGGAACAGGGTTAAAAAACTTTCTTTTGGGATACTTTGAAGGTGTACAATAGAAAAGTTTAGCCAGCGTAGAGAAAATGAATATGTCTGAACAAGATCAGAAGAAAACTATGCTTTATCGTCATGTACAGTTGAAACTAATAAAATAGGGAAATATCACAGTTTCTTGAAAATTATATTGTCAATCAAGTTGGATAATTTTAAAAAACATATGAGGAAATATGATACCTGTTACCTTTGAAAAAAGCAAAATTTATGACAAATTCAAGTGACACACAACACAAAAGTCTCGGAATAGGAAACTCAAAATTGACAATTGACAGATATATTGACAATTGACAGTAAAGTGCAAATGTTATCAAAACCCGATGTGGCTTGAAACCTAGAAAAAAAAGAAGAAAAATTCCAACCTCAAGCTTTATTTCTTGCTGGGCGATTTTGGCTTTAGCGATGCTAGGCGATGAAACGTGTGATGTTATTATTGGTCCATGGTAGCTAACCAATTCGAATTAACCAAATAATATCACAATCACGATTCATCGCTAGCATCGCCAAAACCAAAATCGCCTAGCAGAAAACTATGCTTCATACTTAATAACAATAGATTCATGAATCACTAAAAAGTACACGCCAACAAAGGAACCTGTGAAATATCAGGTGAGGATATTTGGAATCAATTTTTCTTCACAGATTTGACATTCCGAACCATATTTATTCACAAAATAGTTTACTGCAGATCAAGAATATTGAATGAATCACTGAAACACCGAAAACCATCGAACACTAATCACACCAACTAGAAAACCATAAATAACAACAAAAACAACATAGATTATAACTCATACTACGAAATTTTGCAGTGCAGCCACGTTCATCTCAAAATAATTAATATTTTCCATTTTGTTATGTACTCACAATAACTAATAAGTTTATGATTATTAGTAGTGAATTTCTGACAATTATATTGTTATATGTGTATTTTTATGTTATCGTTTGCTCAAAAACCATTTATGTCAGATAGTTCCACAAATATATAAGGAAATTACCTGCTAACCTAAAAGAATACAAATTTATAGTCGTTTGTGCTTGCTCTACCTGCTGAACTAGATCGTTTTCTATGACTTTCTCTGTTTACATCACAACATGAACGGAGACAACCACGGGAAAAAATCAACTTAAGCAAGTTCAGCAATACGAATAAACAGGCCTCATGACAAATTCAAGTGACACAACTCCAAACTCACGAAATCCGAAAACGACAATTGACAGCAGAGGAAAAGTGCTAATAAAGGTGGGTTCCCAATGCAGCGTTTTGCATTTCGCGTAGTGACGCGAAATCCAATAATTGCTATACTGTTTTTTGTTGTTCCCAATGAAATTATGTCAGTTTGTCTTATGTCAGCAATGTCAAATTATAATTGAAACATGGATGTGTGTGTGACGTGAAAAGCAAAACTACTGCATTGGGAACCCACCTTCTAACTTACTATAAAGAAGAGAATCGGGTATATTTGATAAAATATTAATGAAATGAAGTTTGCTTACCTTCGAATTAGAGGTTTCTTCTTCGGACGGACTACTTTTACCCTTCATAGAGCCAAAATCTGACCATAATTTCCTAGTGGCTGGTCCGTAATTGCTGTCCTGGTCCTCGAATTCGCTCTCAGAAGAAGAATCGATCGCTAGCTGCTTTGACAGATCTCTCTTTGCCCTGTCCCTCGCACCCCTACTGCTACTCGTTGTACTATCATCGTCCCCATTCTAAAAAAAAATATGGAAAAGGTGATATTTCTGAGTTCCACTCCCTGTTCCCGAAATACTTGAATAAATTCAGTTGTGTGGAAATATATTTTTTTCCAATTTTGATGTCCTCTGAGCAGGGGATTCAGCCAGGGAGTATGAAATTGTACGAAAAAACTGACGACACTCAAAAGGTTCTTGATCATAGAATATCCGTAAGAGGCGCTGATATCGTCATATTTTTACCATATTTTTGATGGCCATCGGACCACATAACAACAATCACTCAGACTTACGTCAAAAAAATACAGAGATGGTGTTTAATAAAATTCTGATAATTGAGTATAAATCTCCATTTGAGAGAGAATTTGTACAGCAACATCATTCTATTAGAATAAGTCGTGAATGATATGTAAAAAGAATCTTAAATTGACATTTTCAACTGTTTTTGCTGTCAAGTTTGGCAAAACAAAACATAGTCAGAGACTGCTTTCCGTTGGCTGTTGCCAAGTCACAAATTTGTATTTTTTTCTAAATACTTTCAATTATAAAAGCATGACTGCCAAATTCTGACATTTTACTTGAAATCAGGAAATAAAACCGATAAAACGAACGTAAATTAGCTATTTCGGTGTAATATTTTATACAAGAATATTGAACTATTCCAGGTATGGAAATTGCCTCCTCTGCCTTGATGAATGATTGAATATACAATGTGTGTATCTCTTCCTTTTATAAACAAGCTCATCATGTTCGCTACAAAACAAGGATAAATAAAGCATCTCTGGACACAAAACCAATAAAGCAATGCAATGATGAATGGACATTCCAGTCGTCTGTTGATGAAAACTGCCCTACCTTGATCTGGGGTTTCTTCAACCTCTGGAAGTACCGCTCCAACTTGGTACGATCGATGATGTGCAGATAGTAAGAAACCGGCTTCCCCGTCCAGGAGACCGAGCCCCGCAAAGGCGACATCTCCGACACGTGCATGATGGTCCCGATGTCGCTCAGATTCCTATCGGTGATCCGGAAATTCAGCGGACAGAAACTTTTTGAAGACACGATCCTAGCGCCATCTTTCAGATCGGCGAACCTCTCCTTCAACTGGTGATCGACGGACGGTCCGAAAGCGAAATTATTCACGAACACGATGGTCGCCTGGTTGATCTTCTCTCTGTGCTCCTCCGTCAAAAAATCGCCTCTGAGCAGCTTGTATTCCCCGTACTTTTTGCCGTACCATTGCATCCACGTGCGGAAGTTCTTGTTCATGCTGTCGGCGTACCTGAAAGGAATTTTCGAGTTTTATTTGTCCGATTCCGCCACCAGAATCACTTAATGTGTCCGTTTCATTTGCAACTTTTCCGATTCCGTTTGCTGTTTTTCATTCTGTCTCACTACAAGGAACAGTGGAGTAATTTAGGGGGGGATCCATGGGGTCTAACCCCCCCCCCCCAGAGCTGTCTGAAAATCCAAAATAATCTAGTAAACAATTCTAATAATGAAAAAAAAAAATAGACATGAGTATAGGAAATATCACTAGAAATTGATTTGTAATTTGTTAGAACCTCCCAACGAATATCAGAGGTTAGTTATTGTCATTGTAAATAAGATTTTTTCTCCATATACATCATATATAATAAGATTTTTCCTTCATATCTTCTGGAAATTCGACATGCCCTTGTCTTTTTAGACACCATATTTTCTTCTTGCTTCAAAAATTATGTAAACCCAGTTTTGAAGGACTTGAAGGGGGGTCCACCCTTTTATTGGCCCAAATTGTATGTTCCAAGAGAGAATCTGACTTTAAAAAAAATTAAGAATTCGGTATCTTGCATCACAACTTACCGTTTTCCACAAAAAACCTAATCAACGAAAGGGGTCACGACCTCGTTTTCGAACGCAATGGATTGAACGCCTGCATACGGAGGTGATCGTATGTCGGAACGCATTTGAGACTGCTATTTCAGAGGCGTGCGGTACTGCAATACTTGCATTTGATTTGATTAATTATTATCAATATCATTTTGAAATTTTAGGGCTATCTCAGTCTCCATCCATACTGAATTTTGGCACCATGAAAGTTTATACAGGGGGGTTATAAATGAAAACTACTTCGTCTCCATTTTTCAAAATTTCCCGATTTACACCACAGATTCGTTAATTATGACTCCGAATTAGTCTATGTGATTTTTTTCAGATTTTTAATGAGCCAAATAAAAATTTTCATTTTCCCACCTGAGACTTCAGTACGATATAGTCACCGAGCCATCTTCGGACGGCCGAAAGTGCCAGAAAACGGCGGAAATCCACGCGAATTATCGCTTTTCCAGTGGAAAATGACACGCTGAATCGAATGAGACCATGATCAGCAGAAAGGACAAATAGTTTTCGAGATATCGGCGCTCAAAGTCAGCTTTCCGCTTTTATTGCCAAATGGAGCACTCCGGTGGGCTACTACGTCTCCATTTTCCAAAATTTCCCGATTTCCACCACAGATTCGTTCATAACGACATCGAATTAGTCTATGTGAATTTTTTCAGATTCTTAATGAACCAAATAAAAATTTTAATTTTCTCACCTGAGACTTCAGTACGATATAGTCACCGAGCCATCTTCGGACTGCCGAAAGTGCCAGAAAACGGCGAAAATTCACGCGAATTATCGCTTTGCCAGTGGAAAATGAAACGCTGAATCGAATGAGAGCATGATCAGCCCAATAGGACTGATAGTTTTCGAGATATGGGCGCTCAAAGTCAGCTTTCCGCTTTTATTGCCAATAGGAGCACTCCAGTAGGCTACTTCGTCTCCATTTTCCGAAATTTCCTGATTTCCACAGCAGATTCGTTTATTACGACATCGAATTAGTCTATGTGATTTTTTTCAGATTTTTAATAAGCCAAATAAAAATTGTCATTTTCCCACCTAAGACTTCCGTACGATATAGTCACCGAGCCACCTTCGGACGGCCGAAAGTGCCAGAAAACGGCGGAAATCCACGCGAATTATCGCTTTTCCAGTGGAAAATGACACGCTGATTCGAATGAGACCATGATCAGCCCAATAGGACTGATAGTTTTCGAGATATCGGCGCTCAAAGTCAGCTTTCCGCTTTTATTGCCAATAGGAGCACTCCGGTAGGCTACTTCGTGTCCATTTTCCAAAATTTCCTGATTTCCACAGCAGATTCGTTTATTACGACATCGAATTAGTCTGTGTGAATATTTTCAGATTTTTAATAAGCGGAATAAAAATCTTTATTTTCCCACCCAAGACTTCCGTATGATATAGTCACCGAGCCACCTTCGGACGGCCGAAAGTGCCAGAAAACGGCGGAAATCCACGCAAATTATCGCTTTTCAAGTAGAAAATGACACGCTGATTCGAATGAGACCATGATCAGCCCAATAGGACTGATAGTTTTCGAGATATCCGCGCTCAAAGTCAGCTTTCCGCTTTTATTGCCAATAGGAGCACTCCGGTAGGCTACTTCGTCTCCATTTTCCAAAATTTTCTGATTTCCACAGCAGATTCGTTCATTACGACATCGAATTAGTCTATGTGGATTTTTTCAGATTTTTAATAAGCGAAATAAAAAGTTTCATTTTCCCACCAAAGACTTCCCTACAATATAGTCACCGAGCCACCTCCGGACGGCCGAAAGTGCCAGAAAACGGCGGAAATTCACGCGAATTATCGCTTTTCCAGTGGAAAATGATGCGCTGATTCGAATGAGACCATGATCAGCCCAATAGAACAGATAGTTTTCGAGATATCGGCGCTCAAAGTCAGATTTCCGCTTTTATTGCCAATAAGAGCACTCCGGTAGGCTACTTCGTCTCCATTTTTCAAAATTTTCTGATTTCCACCACAGATTCGTTCATTACGACATCGAATTAGTCTATGTGATTTTTTTCAGATTTTTAATAACCGAAATAAAAATTTTCATTTTCCCACCTAAGACTTCCGTACGATATAGTCACCGAGCCACCTTCGGACGGCCGAAAGTGCCAGAAAACGGCGGAAATCCACGCGAATTATCGCTTTTCCAGTGGAAAATGACACGCTGATTCGAATGAGACCATGATCAGCCCAATAGGACTGATAGTTTTCGAGATATCGGCGCTCAAAGTCAGCTTTCTGCTTTTATTGCCCAATAGGACTACTCCAGTAGACTACTTCTTCTCCATTTTTCGAAATTTCCTGATTTCCACCACAGATTCGTTCATTACGACATCGAATTAGTCTATGTGATTTTTTTCAGATTTTTAATAACCGACATGAAAATTTTCATTTTCCCACCTAAGACTTCCGTACGATATAGTCACCGAGCCACCTTCGGACGGCCGAAAGTGCCAGAAAACGGCGGAAATCCACGCGAATTATCGCTTTTCCAGTGGAAAATGACACGCTGATTCGAATGAGACCATGATCAGCCCAATAGGACTGATAGTTTTCGAGATATCGGCGCTCAAAGTCAGATTTCCGCTTTTATTGCCAATAAGAGCACTCCGGTAGGCTACTTCGTCTCCATTTTTCAAAATTTCCCGATTTACACCACAGATTCGTTAATTACGACATCGAATTAGTCTATGTGATTTTCGTCAGACTTTCAATAAGCCAAATAAAAATTTTCATTTTCCCACCTATGACTTCCGTACGATATAGTCACCGAGCCATCTTCGGACGGCCGAAAGTGCCAGAAAACGACGGAAATCCACGCGAATTATCGCTTTTCCAGTGGGAAATGACACGCTGATTCGAATGACACCATGATCAGCCCAATAGGACTGATAGTTTTCGAGATATCGGCGCTCAAAGTCAGCTTTCTGCTTTTATTGCCCAATAGGACTACTCCGGTAGACTACTTCTTCTCCATTTTTCGAAATTTCCTGATTTCCACCACAGATTCGTTCATTACGACATCGAATTAGTCTATGTGATTTTTTTCAGATTTTTAATAACCGACATGAAAATTTTCATTTTCCCACCTAAGACTTCCCTACAATATAGTCACCGAGCCACCTTCGGACGGCCGAAAGTGCCAGAAAACGGCGGAAATCCACGCGAATTATTGCTTTTCCAGTGGAAAATGACACGCTGATTCGAATGAGACCATGATCAGCCCAATAGGACTGATAGTTTTCGAGATATCGGCGCTCAAAGTCAGATTTCCGCTTTTATTGCCAATTAGAGCACTCCGGTAGGGTACTTCGTCTCCATTTTTCGAAATTTCCCGATTTACACTACAGATTCGTTAATTACGACATCGAATTAGTCTATGTGATTTTCGTCAGACTTTCAATAAGCCAAATAAAAATTTTCATTTTTCCACCTATGACTTCCGTACGATATAGTCACCGAGCCACCTTCGGACGGCCGAAAGTGCCAGAAAACGGCGGGAATCCTCGCGAATAATCGCTTTTCCAGTGGAAAATGATACGCTGATTCGAATGAGACCATGATCAGCCCAATAGGACAGATAGTTTTCGAGATATCGGCGCTCAAAGTCAGCTTTCCGCTTTTATTGCCAATAGGACTACTCCGGTAGGCTACTACGTCTCCATTTTTCAAAATTTCCTGATTTCCACCACAGATTCGTTCATTACGACATCGAATTAGTCTATGTGATTTTTTTCAGATTTTTAATAAGCGAAATAAAAATTTTCATTTTCCCACCTAAGACTTCCGTACGATATAGTCACCGAGCCACCTTCGGACGGTCGAAAGTGCTAGAAAACGGCGGGAATCCTCGCGAATTATTAAGAGGGATTATAGGAATTTCCAGTGTCCTTCTAAATGGACAGTAGTACAATCTTGGCCATATGCATACCTGCTCGGCACCACGGCACCTGACATTTTCGACGAAAAAAAAAAGGGAATCGCCATATACTTGCTGGGCACCTATCATTTCCAACAAGAAAATGGAAACTTCCAGTGTCCTTCTTAAATGATAGTGGTACAAGCTGGGCCATATCTGGGATATATGCACACTTGCTCGGCACTCATAATTTTCAACAAGTAAAGGGGAATTTCTAGCGTCCATCTAAAAGGACAGCAGCACAGTCTGGGCTACATGCATATCTGCTCGTCACCTTCCATTCTCAACAAAAAAAACTGATTTGCCACTGTCCTTTTGGAAGGACAATCAATCAATCAATCGTAGTGTTGCCGGGGTAGCAACGGGTGAGACCCCCCCTTCCAAGACTCCCCTTATGGATGACTGCCGGTCTCCTATCTTTCGAGTTATACCGACAGCACACCCCCGAGAGAAATGGAAGATTTGGATACGCCAAATCAGCGCGCTAGAGCCATCTCCGTTGTGTAACGGCATGTTCTCCTGCTACCATTTTATTATACCAATGGTGAGGCCGTCTGATAAAACAGACTGCTGGCTTTGCAGTGTCAGTGCCCGAGCAGAAACGCTGCTCACCCGCCGAGGCACGCAAGATATCCTCCCACTTGACCGATAGTGGAATTCTTCTTCACGTCCTCTACCGTAGTCCGGTGGTATTTTTTGGAAACCGCTGCCCCCTGGAGTACAACCCAATTGGTGAGGCACCAGGCCGTATGATCGTTCGAGGACTTTCACACGTTCCTCTACATATCGTTAACAGGAGAGGACCCGGCTTTGCCTACGATGACTGGTGGTAGGATCGCTTGGGGCTACCCCCTCCCTGACGAACTAAGGCACAAGGTACACCAGAGTTCCAGTTTTCGCTGAGCAAGCCCAGCTACCCATGTCGACCAGAATCCTCCAGTCCCGTTTGATGGGTGTCCGTTCGCGGCCTTTTACACGTTCCGCTACCATGACAAGAGTGAAGACCTCAAGCTTTTAACCAGTGGTGTCTGGAATCACCTGAGGCTACCCCCACCCCGACGCCGTGAGTACATGGTGGGCCCACGGCCAACTTTTGGAAGGACAGTGGGATAATCTGTGCAAAATGTCATACCTGCTCGGCACCTCTGCTCGCTCGATCCCCAAACATATCTTGCACGGGGTGGCGGCCGCCATCTGCAGCACCACCTGCCCCACCCCCGAACCTAGATCGATGAAGACGTCGTCCGCCGTGATCTCGATCTGGTCGATCATCTGCGACACCAAATCGTACGAAGTCTCGCCGTACACCTCGGGGGAGAACGGCTCGTACTGATTGAGCTTCTCGGGGTCGGTAACTGCGGCGTTGTAGGTCTGCTGCAGGATGTGCCTCAGGAGGCCGCGGGACGGGTACTTGCTGATCCTGTGCGCCGGCAGGGAGGTGCCTTTTTCCTATACGAGAAATATTTGGGATTTAGTGAGGCGGCATGAGGTGTGGTTCTCCTACGAACGTGAACGAGAGGTGGTTCGAATTCGAACTTCTCGGTTGGGATCTCGGGAACGGTGAGTGGATTAAGGCAGGTCACGAATTCGTTTTGCCCAAACATACATATAGGGGATTCCCAAGGACGAATCAGAGCGGGCTATGTTGGTGAATTAAAATCACTGATATTGGCGCTAAATTAGGATAACAAACATTTTCACAATATAGGAAGCAATGTATTTGTGACATGGTTAGTTGTTCATTGAAAGATCTAAAATATTTATGATATAAGGATGGTGGCTACTTTTTCCAAAAAATCTAACCTAACTGGACCTAATATACAGATAATATAAGAAAGAATACTACTTTTTCGAAAAATTACCCGAGAATGAAATTAAAAAGTTATCCCTCGTGAGCAATGCATTTTTTTCCATGAAGAGAAAAGTGATATCATTTCGTTCTAGACTTGAAATATTTCACTTGAGCTGAACTGAATTCTATAGAATTAAAGTGATACAAATGAACGAATGACTGAATTCTATAGAATCAAAGTAATACAAATGAACGAATGTTGTTAACTGATTTAGTTTCGTTCGAGTGAAATATTTCCGTTGAAATAATATCACTAGAATTATATGATAATCGCCGCTAAGCAACAAACGAAAGAGACAAACAATTCTCGCCAGCACGCAGGCGCTTTTTGGATCGTTCTGAATGGTCTTTAGGAATCGCTTATATGTATGTTTGGGCTAAACAAATTCGTGCTTAGTCAGGAAACTATTTGAAAAGGTATATAAAAATAAATGGCACTTTATCCTTCATCGTGGCTACGAATTCCGTCTTCCAGAAACAATCATCAACTTATATTCTACAAAACTGACCTGGATTTTTTTTCAGCTTTGAAAAATGACGAATCTGCTTGTATTTTTTCAAGAAATGTTATATTCAGGGCGAATTAGAAATGAGGTAGTACCTATCTTAAAAAATACATGTAAAATTCGAATAGACTTATTGAGATTTATCAAATACATTTCGATCCTGACTTGCATTTTCTAGTTAGTTCATGATATGAGGAAACAGAGTGGAAAAATTCGAAGCATCAAAACATACCCTCACCACTTCTAAATCATCATTCAAGTGAACTCTAGATAAAAATCGTTGTCGTATTGGATATTTTCTAAAAATAAAGAAATTGTCAATATTTGTTATTGAAACGTTTGAAAATCGAAAGGATGATCCATAGCTTTTCAGAGTATCCAATGGTAACAAAAAATATACAAAAAAAGTTGATTGTTTCTGATTTTCAAATTTGACATTGCCATCTTGTTGGGAAGAAGAAAAAGTCGCAGAATATATTAAAGAAATGCCTTTATTTAACAGATTTTGTTTTTTTTATCATCTCCAAGATTCCGTTCTTTTACTATCTCCAAGATTCCAACAATGAGGCTTGAATTTGAATACCTTTTACACAGAGAGAAGTACTTTTCTAAAAGAACTTACCTGTAAGTTGGACAACTGTGATTAATTTTAGAGATTTTTCCAGGGCTTTTGATGCAGTTGACTAAAGCATGTAATTTGCTAAATATTAAAAAGTTTACCTTTACTCGTTTATTATTTCAATCATATCTCCTGAATATAGAAGTCAGATTGTTTTGCCGAATGACATTCGTTGTTATTCTTGCAACATCACACAGGGTGTTCCACAACGTTCATTTCTGGGGCCTCTACTATATAACGTCTTTGCAAATGACCTCATATATTTTGTAGAAAATATCCCAAATGTCAAAATTATAATCTAACATCATGTTCACTGGAAATAGTCAACAATCACTGGTCACAACTACAGAGAGTGTACATTAACACATCAAGTTCGTCTAAAAAATCACAACTTATTGCCATTAAAACATAAAAAGGGAGGTTTTGTTTTATTTGGGATGTAGCAAGCAAAATCTTCCAATTGCTTTTCGAAAATATAGACAGGATCCTGCTCTAAATACGTGGAACCTTCAGGATGGACTAATTCAGAAAATAATACCCACTATATAAATTATTGGAAATAATGAATCTTAACCTGAACATGAAATATTTCCAATTCAGAATTGTTCATTCTACTACTGAGCCAATAAATATAGGTTCAATAATTTGTTGCTATCAACAACTTAATTATTATATCATCGAATTCCAATATTTCAAGATATTCGAGTGAATAATATAAGCTAATGAAATTCTTTTTCAATATGTTGACGTGACCTATTGCCACAACGTATCTTCATACTGATCGAGCTTCTGACTGTATTTTTAATGAATGTACTGAATGTAATCAAAATTATTATGCCTAAAAATGCTGGGGAAGGATTGAAAAGAGGAGAGGGCCTAACGTTCATATATAAATAGTAAGATACGAACCAGAATTGACGAAAAATACTCACCAAAGCAACAACACTATCAATGGCTCTATTGAACCTATCACATAATGATTTCATGCTCTCGTAGCTTCTAGTATCATAATCACAGAGAATGTTGTTTTCTAATGGCAGTTTTAGTTCTGGCAGATCCTCGCAAACCCATCTGGAAATAAGAAAAAATATTCATTACATATTGATTTTCAATGTGTTTTAATCATTTCAACGACTAGGTTGTGTAGATGCAGAATTTCAAGGGGACTATACATCGACAAGGAAAGGTTAATCGAGTGTATTAACTTCCGATGTCGAAACTGTTGGAAGTGTTAGAATGGGCTTATATCACAAAAAAAATTATTTCATAATTCGATAGTACTCATCCAAACTAGCTCACCACCGTAAACCGTTTCTTGCTGTGAGCTTCCAACGATTTATAAAAAATTATTGAAATCCCCGATTTTTCGGACCTCTGAAAACGAGGCGATGATATGACGTCAAAACCCTGATACTGAAACAAGACTATTCCAGATAGAGATGAATGATACATGATCTCTGACAGAGTGAATTAGCGCGAGATCACAGTTGAAAGAATTAATATATCAGTTGCCTGAGTCTCCGTCGGGCGTTTGGTATTTTCTTTCAACTATGGCGAGATGAGGTTTCTACGTCATAAGAGGGTCCGTTTTCAGAAGGTACTATTATTTATGTCCAAAAATAAAACATTCCAGTTAATTTTTCGATCGAATTATGTCGTCAATCATTATTTATGTATAAAAGGATCATTATAAACATGGTTTGAGTTGAAAGTTCTACTAAGGTGTACACGCCCATTGATGAAATGACCGCTTCAGAATATGATATAACAGGTCTTTATGTCACATATTATGCAGGAACTTATGGATTCCAGAGCAAGTAGCTTAGATCTAAAGACTTATGAGGTTACTTATTCAGATGATAACCAGGGAAGTCAAGCCCTCTTAAAGTTCAAGTTAATAAGTTATACCTATTAATAAAATGTATTCTTTTTGCGAATAATCACATCCCACAGCATACATATTTCTCCGTAAGTTATTTACTGACTGATTTATGTGGTTAACTTATGATAAAAATGTTTTGATGATGCCTAAAATAGCTATGTATGTAGACGATAATGAGCTAATCAATGAAAGAAGAAATCCAAATTCTACTGCGGTATGACAGAATGAAAATTTTACAGATATTCTTTTTTATCTCAATTTCGAAAACAGAGTTCCATGTATAAAAATCAAATTATTCATGGTATAAACATGTTCAATAATAATATACCAAAAATCACATATTGTGATCGTGTTATTGTTGTTTTTGTATTGGAGTATAAGTAAATAAGGGTTCTGTAAAAAAGTCATTCAATAATGATTAAAAATTGTTGGATTATATTCCCATCTGTCCTGTAATGGAACATGTGCTGGTCCAAACAGAGCGGCAACCGTTTTCCTTTAAGGATTTTTACTTTACAGTAGACAGGTGGTACTGGTGGTACCCACTTCAGATGTCTGATACACACCCAGACCATACGATCGAACGTTTGTGCAACAGCTGTACCACCATGGATAGATACATAGTAATAAAATAAACAGGTACTACCTTCCCCTAGAGCCTTGATTTCCTGAAAGATGCCGCCTACATTGGATCTAATAGAAATTTCACGAACAAATGTTTTTTTTTTAGTGGAATATACCTACATTTCACGAATTTACTATGCTGTTATTGCTGCATGTCCTTACAATTGTTTGCATTCGAAGTTAATTGGGTTGTATATTTACAGTACGGTTATTACACCCCCATAAATAATGTTTCTCAACAAGAGGACAGTAAAAATAAATACAAGGATAGCTTTAGTCAACATCCTTCCAAAATACCTACCCATACCAAACCTACTAATAATTCGTCATGGGGCCTCTTTCGGAATTTTCGGCCATTTTTATTTAATAAAAAGCTTGACAATTCTTTATTTTGGCTTTGCCGTCGTAGTAAGATGAAGATAACAATGCAAATTTTCTCAGGTTTATATCTATCATCGATGTGTCATTATGGAAAAAAGAGAATAGTTATTTCGTCTAATATGAATAGGAAGTGTGAATCATTTCAAAGGTAGGTATTTGTTTGCCATCTATAGTTAGAAAACACAAAGGTGTCACGAATAAACAAGAAGAGATCTTCTCGTAATCGTAAATGAATCATAAAAAGTCGTAAAACAGTATCGAATTCCGACGAGATGAATTTGCGGTTTATAAAAAAAGCTCGTCAGAGGTCAAAGGCCTGTAATAGTAAACAAGTTTCGTGGATTCGTTCATGAATATTGAACGACGTTCACTACGAAAATATAGCCCCGTAAAAATATGATTTAATGTTGCGTTCTGATGTCTGGATGTACGTCATATCATGACGAAACTTGCTTTCACGAATTTCACGATACAATCTGTGATACCTATCTCAGATCTGAGTAGTAAATATACTGCTGGTCGGTCTTATTAGGGCAAGAAACAGGTGATGCCCATATGCTCGGCTGGGTGGAATTCTACCAAAGATTCTACTCATCTTGGCGATTTCCAAATTCTAAACACTTTAAATTTATCTGTGAAGTGTCCAACTCTCACATCACATCATCTCATATCCATCCCCTACGTGAATGGGTGTATAAACAAAGAAAAAGGATTTGTTGCTTCAACACATTATTTGTGTTTGAATTATGTTGTTGGATTGAACAACTTTTTGTTTTATTAAACAGATACATTATCATTTCAAAGGAGCAGCTTGTTCTAATCAAGAATATAGTTTAATTGAATCAACAGTATAATATCAAGTTCAAAAACAAATCATGTTGATCTAGAAATAATTACGAAAATTATTCAACGACATACAATTTGTTCATCTGAAGAAAAAATAAAGATCATTTTGATAAGGATATAATAATATATCTTTAAGACAACATAAAAATTTTCTTATTCTGATGTAACAATTCACGATATCATTTACTTGACGAGAGCGAAATACATAGTATCAATGAAATATTTTCGTTCATTCAATATGAAGTTACATTATTGCTACTAGATGGCGATCTTTCCGCCTCGTCTATGCCCATCTCGAATTTATTATACATAGTCCAGCTGGATTAATCGAACTCAAGATGCTAAGCAAATCGACATAGACTTGTATCAGCTGAATAGTAGTGACTATTGTAGTGATTACTGAAGTTTAATAATTACCCTACATTTTTATTCTATTGATGAAGAGTTTTCCCGATGAATACTTAATTTGGTTCAACGAAACAATTTTTCAAATTGAAAGTCAGTTTCTATTGAATCAAGGAAACATTTCATTGAATCAATATCTTGTCATTTTGAATCAATCAGAATAATTGTATGAGCCAATTCAATAGCTCTTTCGGAGGCTCTTTCTGAACAATTCACGGATGTGTTTGTCCATAGTTTAATGCAAGAAATATTTACTTGATTCAAACTCAAAATTTGCTCTGAAACAAGATACTTTCATTTGCTTCATTGAAATGAATATTGTTTGACTAATTTTTTTTTCTGTGTAGGTATAACAGTATGGTCGCTTGTAACCTACCTATCATCAGAAATGGCATGGCACATTTTCAAATTTACTAAAGCTAAACAAAATTAAAGAGAACACAAATTTGGATTCCCCTATTACCAAGACAGGTTATTATTACCGAGATTATTACATGTTTTGCACGCGTAAACGAGGTTCGATGTTCAACGTTACGGTGGGTCATGATTGCCAATCTCAAGGTCTTTTACCGCTATTTGCAGTGAACGATTACATTCTGCAACTAGCACTGGAATTGTCGAATCATCAGCGTCAGAATGTTGAAATAGGTATTATAATCTTCGATGAATGTATAGGTAAGGTAACTTGGTAGGTAAGCGGAAGAAAAATGACCCATTTGAGTCAGCATTTTACTGGCACGAATAAGGTATCAACACGAGGAATTTGAATTTACAATTACCTAACCTACATGCATCTTACAAAATAGTTGATGTTACGATTCATAATAAAATACCTATAGGTATTTTTGGAAAGACAATTCTATCGACCCCCAGTTTTATATGACCAACCCTGAATACTTTGATATGCCTATCAAACATATTTTCAAGGGTTAAAAATTTCGTACTGTTAGGTTGGCTACAGGTGTCAAAAAATGTTTAATGTGAACAAATATCGGCGGAACCATCAGAATTATGAAATTTTTATCAGATCACAAACTATTGAATTCTTCAAAAACAACTTTGTACACCCTTAGTTTGTGTGGAATGAAATTCTGAATTGAGGAAACCCAATTACGAATCTGTAAAAATAACAAATTTTCATCATTCAAGTTTGAACCCCTGGAAAAAAGTGTGTTTCAGGATAGCAGTCTGGTAGTCAAAACTTCCTGAGAATTCCAATACTCTTTATTTTCTAAACATACTCATCTGAAAGAAAATGCAAATTCTCAATTTCGGAAGATTTTATTTTCAAATTCTTACTGTGTGTGTTCAATAGATGTAATTCAATGTTCGTCGTGGCATATAGCCAGGAAAGTAGTTGTTTTCTGTTCAATATACCGATAAAAAATTTATATTTTTTATCAGTTAGAGAATGCGAATTCTCAATGTATTCCTTTAGATGTATAATTTTTTTTCATGTTCATAATTCATGCGAGAATATTCTTTTCAATAGTTAGGTATACTTCCAACAAATAGCATAGAGCATAGGGAGTTTGCCAACATTGTTACATTTTAGGTTGAAATTCACAACTGTAAATTAGTGTAAATTAGTCTAATTAGGTTCAAATCTATGGCTGCAACTTGAAATTAGTGTGATAAAAAAGAGTGTTTCAGGATAACAGTTTGGCAGTCCTAAACAACCTGAGAATTCCAATACTTATTTTCTACACATACTCATCTGAAAACGTTGCGATTTCAGCTACATGTTCATAGAAAGCATTTTTCCTTAAATTGAAACATGCCCTGAACCTATTTTTCAATGATTCCATTTCCTTCGAAAGAATAGATCTGACATCAAATAGTTATTGGAAAAATACGAGGCAGAAACTTTTAGTCTAGCAACCCCTCTAAAAGTCGAGAATGGGAGTTCACGGAAATAGGCCAGTAGGCAGCA